TATACCCCATTACAAAAAAGTCTGCGTCTTAACCGCTACTTCAGTTTATAAATAAAAATATTCTTCAAATTGCAATTTGGTTTATAACATCTTGCGTAAAAAATAAATCATTAGCAAATCATGGAACATGTATTATTATCTTTTTATTGCCTTTATAGGCAGACAAGCATACGACCCACCTGATGGTGAGTGGTTACCATCGCCCATGGACATCAGCAATGCCAGAGGTAGAGACAAGCCGCTGCTTACCGTAAAATTTCTTTGTAATCTTAATCTTAAATATAATTCCATGGATGTTCGTGATAGTAGTTCACTAACTGTTTCGCTTGCCAGTATTTAGAACCGCAATAATGTAACTAATACATTCTTATGCCAAAACAACTATGAACAAGAAACAAATAAGTAGTTGATAAAAAAAAAATAAACTTCACAAAAATGTCCGGAACCCTCGTCCGCATTTCACCCAAATAAAACAAATCCTTTCGACATTGGCGATATAAAGCGTAAAGTCATCATTCTAGAATCGTCAGATGCTGAGCCAAGTGTTCGGGGTCGGAAAAGAACGGATTCATTTGGAAATTTGCTTCTTTAAAATGAAATTACAGTTTAAATATAATATAATATAATATATAATAAAAATGAAATATTATATAGTAATAAAACTGTTCAAATATTTTTAATTAGGCTATTATTTTAATGCTATACTATCTATCATATTTGATTTTTTTTTAAACTAATAAGATGTGACAGCAAAAAATATATGAAGAACCGTCACTTTTGTTGTTTTTTTTTTTAAAACATTTTGAAAGTAGCATTTAAATTTTCCTTTTTTTTTGTTTGACACTTGAACTTAACTTGGAGTCTTAAACTTGTTTCGAAGATTAAGCCATGCATTTGACTTAATACGCATCTCAAACGTGTGCTTGGTTTTGAAGTCGTCGTGGCCTAAAGGATAAGATAATAGAGTAGATAATAGAGAGATAATAATGTACAAACTTATAATTTCAATTAATTATAGTCGAATTTCGAATACTATGGAACCACTAATTAATAATTAAACCATCTATCACGCTATTCACGCTACGAGCGCAATCGAATTCTACAAGATATTATTGTAACTCACACGGTTTAATACAAATTTGGGGGGCTCTGTAGGAGGGGTAAACAACGATTTTCCCCCTAGACAACGACTATTCCGTACATCTCCCCCACACCTACTGTTTACGACTGCGAAACTTCATGAATATAAAGACAGCAATTTCAGACGAACGTGGGGGGGGTCGGTGAACTTTCTGTCATCTTTGTGTTTTACGGGAGAGCACTTTTTCGATTTATTATCAGGTGATATAATCGAAAACAGGGAGTTTCTCGACGCATTTCCTTTATAATTGAAGGATGCTTTTTCCTTTCGACGACACTAGAACAAAATAACTCTTTTTACGCGAAGGCCTTTTGTAAAACAAATTTGTATAGTCGTAGTTGTAGTCGTCGTGGCCTAAAGGATAAGACGTCCGGTGCATTCGTATATAGCGATGCAACGGTGTTCGAATCCCGCAGACGGGTACCAGTTTTTCTAATGAAATACGTACCTAACAAATGTTCACGATTGACTAACACGGTTTAGGAATAACATCGTGTAATAAAAATCAAACTCGCAAAATTATAATTTGCGTAATTACTGGTGGTAGGGCCTCTTGTGAGTCCGCACGGGTAGGTACCACCACCCTGCCTATTTCTGCCGTAAAGCAGTAATGCGTTTCGGTTTGAAGGGTGGGGCAGCCGTTGTAACTATACCTGAGACCTTAGAACTTATGTCTCAAGGTGGGTGGCGCATTTACGTTGTAGATGTCTATGGGTTCCAGTAACCATTTGACACCAGGTGGGCTGTGAGCTGGTCCATCCCGCCAAGCAATAAAAAAAAAGTCGAAAAAAACGGGGTTTCATGTTATTACGACCCCTTTATACTTCTCTCCTTGCGTCGATAAACCTCAATGCTGAGGGTCGTGGCCTCCCTAAATAACTTTCCCCTGGACTACTCTGTGCCAGTCCTGCCTGGACTGAGGTGTTGAGAGCAAAGCGGTCCGCCCAGCACATTGGAACTCTACCTTTGCGTATTCTGCACCATAATTTTCATGCTACCAGCAGCTTTTCTAAATTGTCGCCTTTATTTCAGGCAATGTGTTCAAAGAACTTGAAACTCCTCCGCGCGCATTTAACAGCCTATACGACTCCCGTAAATGTAATAATGATTTGAGATCGAGAAGCAGTTCAAGTTCCTTCGCGTTTTTATAGCCCATGTAGGCAGACTAGCACACGGCCCACCTGATGGTGAGTGGTTACCGTCGCCCATGGACGTCAGCAATGCCAGGGGCAGAGCCAAGCCGCTGCCTACCGTTAACTTAGATTTGCAATCCAAAAATATTGCTTTCAAACGCATAAAGATGGAAGATAGTGTATTGTGCTGGCTTATCGGGGTACAGGGGTCGCCCCACGACCCTCCATTCAGTTCCGATCATTTATTTTTATGACCTCATTTAACTTTGAAAGGGTTGATTCGGTTTACAATTAAAAAGAAAGTTTTATTTAAAAATTACCCGTGTTTGATATTTATCTGAATGTAAATAAAGTGTATGCTGTTTTTTTTTTTCAATTTTTTTATCAAATGAACTTGATTTCACCTTCTCCGCGTCAACTTTGTTCAAACAATATCTATGGTTGACCGGAAGAGAAGTTCGCCCATACATACGAGGTCCGTTAATGAAATTCATAAACTAATATATAAAAAAATATTGCTTGTGCTGTACCTATATAAAAATGTATAACTAAAATTCTATGAAAACGCTCTGTGGATGAACGCAGTGACTCTTCATAGTAAGAATGAGCTCTAAATATTTGTAGTCGTCGTGGCCTAAAGGATAAGACGTCCGGTGCATTCGTATGTAGCGATGCAACAGTGTTCGAATCCCGTTGGCGGGTACCAGTTTTTCTAATGAAATGCGTAATTAACAAATGTTCACGATTGCCTTCCACGGTGAAGGAATAACATTGTGTAATAAAAATCAAATCCGCAAAATTATAATTTGCGTGGTTAAATTACTAGTTTTGGATCTTTTGTAAGACCGCACAGGTAGGTACCACCACCCTGCCTATTTCTGCCGTGAAGCAGTAATGCGTTTTGGTTTGAAGAGTGAGGCAGTCGTTGTAATCATACTAACACCTGAGAACTCTTATCTCAAGGTAGGTAGCGGAATTTACGTTGTAGATGTCTATGGTCTCCGATAACCATTTAACATCAGGTGAGCCGTGAGCTCATCCACCCACCTAAGCAATAAAAAAAATAACTTTGTTTAAAAGTTATATTTGGAACGTAAGATCTGAATGTAAACAAACCTCATTGTTAAATATTGTTTACTTAAAATCCCTTTCGGGGAAAATTGTTATTGCTTAACAACATTTCACTTCTGATCTAACAGTATAACAAACAAACAAACTTCGATCACGCTTGGAATCTTCAGCGGAGCCGTAAATACGAGCCAAACTTTTTAATTTGTCTCCGGAATAGCTTAATGGATCCTCCATAAATAACTGAATATCGTTTAGAAACTTCGCCTTAAAACATTACGGGTATTAGACATGTGTATCAGCGTAATTAATTCAATAGACACATTAACATTAGCTGTTATACTGTACAATTGATATTCAGACCTCAAATGTCACATGATTAGTGGCGGCATTCACTTTGAACCGTCTGTGTCGTAAAGTCATAACGATTTGAAAGTGCCTGCAAATATCTTCTTGAAGAAAAAGAAAACGTTTCTGCTGATTGTATATGGAAAATGGACAACAACACTAGGCAACAACTCTAGGCTACGTAGACTTCTTTCTTACTAGTGGTCCCGCAGTAGTCGAAATTTGACTATAATTAATTGAAATTGTAGGTTTGTACACTATTATGATTCTATTTTCAAAGACTATTATACTTCTATAATCACAAATTTCGCTAAGACTAAACTATAAAAAAAAATTAGTAAAGACAAACAACTTGATGCCTTTGTACATAATTTTCCTATTACTCTGTACTGTGTCTTGTTTTCTGTGTGTACATAAATAAATAAATAAATAAATAAAATAAAAAATATTTAATCTATTCTTAATTTGACCACAGACGTCAAGAACTAAAGTTTGACAATAAATAAATAGTATGCATGCGTGTTGCGTCAAATACAGGGTAGTGTGTGTAATGTTTTATTTATTGATTTAATGTATTTGTTAGGCATAATTTTAAAAAATATTAACATTCTGCACTCCTTCTCTATATTCTCTATAAGTGTGGGAAATTTCATACTCCTCCGTCCGCGCAGTTTTCGTTAAAAGGGATACAAAGTTTTTCCTTCACGTATTAATATATAGATTCTTCCACTGCCCAGACATCTTCGTTATTCGGAAAAACATCTCATTTTAACCATTTGAATAATACATTATCTAAATGGTAGGCCCACACTCCTTTTAAGTACTGATGCCACTCTTGGATCGGAGCAGCACGTGGTGAATTGAATTTACGATTGATATCCTTCGGAACTAAACGATGGTGCAAATTGTCAATGACGAAAGAGCAAATCAATCGTTCAATGAACCCTTTGTGCTGAACTTTTTAAGATTGCTGATTTAATTTTTGTATATTACAGAATGTTGCTTGAGGTCAGGGTGCCTATTGACATAAGCCTCCTCTAACATCTTCCATTGTTGCTCTCTTGCTTTTTTTTGCTCTCTCTATTGTTGTCTAAAGATAGACAGAGCAGAGATAGATAGACAAATATAGACATAGCCAGATAGAAAGATAGAAATATATAGCAAATAGGATAACCTAAAAAAGAACTTTGGATGTACGCAGCAATCCCAAGTAGTGGGGATAAACTCTGCTCTCGTAAAATAAAGATGCCGGGATTATCTCAAGCAATGCCTCTCATAATAGAGAAATAATAGAGAAATATTAATTTCAGAAGCGAGCAGTCATATAATCGCACCGTGCAGTCTGTTGCCGCGGCCAACGCTTTGGCTGTCCCGTGGAGCGCTGCCGAGGTGCGGGGAGCCTTGCCCACAGCCCTGGGAGTCGCCGGAATACCCGCCCTGGTCATAACAAGTGGTGATGGTACCGTGCTCACTGCGAACGGCAGGCAAAAACTTGCTGCCGATCCCACCGGCTTGGTAGGTAGCGAACGTATAATATGATTTTCTATTCCAAAATAATCATACTTTTGATTCAAACAGATGTTATATCAATCTTTATATATGTACTAGCTTTGGCCCGTGACCTCGTCTGCGTGGAATAGTTACTTTGGCGTATATCTACATACAACGTAAGCTCTCAAAAGGGAAAAATACCCCGATTTTGAAACATTCTTTATTGGTGCTCCACTTGGTCCTACTGGTCCTATTGGTCTTAGCGTGATGTTATATAGCCTATAGTCTTCCACAATAAATGAGCTATCTGATACTGAAAGAATTTTTCAAATCAGACCGGTAGTTCCCGAGATTAGCGCGTTCAAACAAACAAACTCTTCGGCTTTATAATATTAGTATAAATATTTCTTCTGCGTGTGTTTGTCACTGAACTCCTCCTAAGGATCCTGGATGGTTTAGATTCAGGCAGTTGGCGATGCAGTCGGTATCTTTAGGTTTTTATCTTTCCTAGAAATAATTTATATGGCAAAACAACGTTTGCCGGGCCAGCTAGTATTAATATATTAATTTAAAACAGCCAACTCTGAGTATAATAGCTCGAATGCTCAAAACGAAAACTTAAATGAAGTAGGCACATTAAATGGTTGTTAAGATAGCAAGAGCTTAAAGGAGATGGTAAGGATTTTGCATCTGTTGTGGACTGTAGAATTAGGATGGGCAAGGAACTTAATAAATAAACTCGCGAGGATTGCGCGTATAAAATTTTTATTTTGGGAATTTTATAATTCGCGTACAATAGGACGGAAAAAGAGAAAGACAAATCAAAGATATTTCAAAATTCAAATTTAATGTTGCCACCACAACCATAACAATAAAAAAGATTTTATACCAATTTGTTGGGTTGCCAACAGCATCTACTTACAGAGTAATATTCACCTTAAGTTTAGGTACGGCATCATAGTGCTTGCGTTACCTACTTACAGACCAGAATTAAAATCTAGTCCAAGATTACGTTGTACAAGAATTTATAATAGTCACATGAATATAGCACTAATCGGTTTGGATTGTTTGAAAGCGAAATTTGTCGTAATTGGCCAGACTATTGGCCCACACGTAGAAAAGCAAAAATCGTGAATGTTTACATGAAGACACTTGTTTAAATTCCTTCGATAATCTCACCGTCAAGACGAGAAACTCCCTCCATCTAAATTTCGTATCAAAAACTGTAAAAAATTCATATATCTAAGAATTACCTATATTTCTTTTTTCATGACTTTCCGTGGTCCCAGACCTCTTTCAGTGTTGACCGAATAAGCTCTCTTAAATAAATAATAAATAAATAAATAGTGCTTGCGTTACCTAATTACAGACCAGAATTAAAATCTCGTCCAAGATTATGTTGTACAAGAAACTATTATATTCATACGAGTATGGCGCTAATCGGTTTGGATTGTTTGAAAGCGAAATTTCTCGTAATTGGCCAGACTATTTTGCCCCACGTAGCAAAGCAAGAACGGCGAATGTTTACAAATGAAGACACTTGTTTAAGTCCCTTCGATAATCCCACCTTCAAGACGAGAAGCTCTCTTCATCTAATTTTTTTCTAAATTTTTACTGATGGTAGGACGTCTCGTGAGTCCGCACGGGTAGGTACCACCGCCCTGCCTATTTCTGCCGTGAAGCAGTGATGCGTTTCCGTTTGAAGGGCGGGGCAGCCGTTGTGACTATACTGAGAGACCTTAGAACTCGTATCTCAAAATGGGTGGTGGCATTTACGTTGTAGATGTCTATGAGCTCCAGTAACCACTTAACACCAGGTGGGCTGTGAGCTCGTCTATCTATGTTAGCGATAACAAAAAAAGAAAAAAAGAAAATTCGTATCGTCATATATCTAAGAATTACCTATACTATTTCTTTTTTCAGAACTTTCCGTGGTCCCAGAGACCTCTTTCAGTGTTGACTGAACAAGCTCTCCTAAAGATGGCCAGACACCCGGCCATAGTTTTGTTTGTGGGTAAGATATTAGATTTTATTTATATAAATCAAAATGCAAGGTAGTTTAATAACCTAAAAATACATATTATTATCCGCAACACGCTTCGTAAGTTTATTATATTAGATTGTCACAAATTCGGAATCTCTTAATTGTTAGCTTAAGTTAGCGTGCCAATATCGATATATTTTCAAATGCAAATGAGGTTATTTGTCTATTTCTTGTAGACCTTTGATATCGAATTGGTCGATGAGTCTGCAATCAAAATGAATGCATATACACATGAACAAACAAAAATACCACCCATTGCTAATGATTATTTTCTAGTCTAGTTTGAAAAAGAATATTTCAGAGCGGAGCGGGGATAAATACCGAACTTAGACCATCGCAAAATAATATCATAGATAATAAACATAAATCTATATTAATATATAAATCTACAGTGGTTTTTACAGATGTTCCGTTATAGCTACTGGACCATGCATCAGATTGACTTGAAACTTGGTATCCATGTAGAAAATACGCGTACTTAATGGATAGGCTAATATTTATGTGAGTGTTGGACTGGGTTAAATGATGAGAATCGTTGTGGGGGTGAGAAATAATAATGTTAATTTGAAATACCCAGCGAAGCGGACGGGTACAGCCAGTTAATAATATGATGCTAATTCATGGCTTGTTCTGACTTAGAAATGATTTGTATTAAAATTTAACCACCGTTATCAATGGTTCTTGAATCACTGACCACATTTGTCCAGTTTTGGTCCACGAAACTTTTATGGGTCGTTTGTGTAAAGTTTGTGGCCACAGAACACTATTAATAAGCTTCGTTTGACCAAAGCTGGGACGTTCAGATTTGCAAAAAAGGAAGGCTTTCAGAAAGAAACTTTTTGTATAGGCCTTTGATGAGTAACTCCAATAACCTACATACGCCATTTATTTAATCAACACGATTTCTATTGCAGATGACGAAGATTCCGAAATAGAATTCGCCGAATCGGTACTAACGCCGGCCGCGGAGTCGTACTACGAGGAATGCAGCATCCAATACCCTGGATTCTGCCCGCACCAGAGCTCTTCGGACGACGAGACCCTTGACTTCGACTACCCGCCCAGGAAATCCAAGAAGCGACCGTTCAAACACGTCATGTTCTACGTCGGCGTGGACGGCACAGACACCGCGGACATGCTGAGAGAGCACATCTGCTTAGATGACGCGGTGCCACTGCTCACAGCCATCGACTTCCCGAAGCAACGGATGTTCACCATGAAGTACGGCGATGAGATAACCACGCACTCGGTACAGAACTTCCTTGACGCTTATCTGAGCGGCAATGCAGACTTCAAGCCGCTGAAGCCTTACAGTGACAAATGTTAATTATCGTAGACAAATCGTTTTTTTTTTTTTATGAATTTTTTTTTTTTATGAATGAAGGATTACTGATGGCCCGGAGGCCTTTCCAGTTTCACCAGGACAGGTGGACGAGCAAAGGCTCAGCCAGGAGGGGTGGGATTAGCGAACAGCTGCCCGAGCGCCTCTGAAGAAGACCTAACAACCCAAGAGCAATTGTTTCGCGAATTAATCTACTATCGGATCGGAATCGCGACCCGCTGAGAAGATCCGACGAGAAACTCAGCGAGCTGATATTTGGGTTAGGTTGCACGGCGACCTCTTTGTCGAGTTCGACGAGTACGGTTACCGGGGTAAATCATTCGGAGCACAAAATCGGCCGCCCAAAAATTTTATGTAAATACAATAAATATGCAATGATATTTTTAAGATTACCGACACGGCACATCCACCGCTCATACACTCGCGTTAATCAGTGTGCTCAGTGAGAGTTCCTTAACGTTTTCGATCGCGTAAAAGTTAACTTAAGTATGGAGTTGGGAAAGCGCCCCTAGCGGTAAACGAAGGGAAGCTGTACAAATTCAAACAAACTCTCACTAAGCACACATACCGTTTAATAAAACGACTTAGGTCTGAAAAGCCTAATAGGAAGTACTAATCATCACATAAAGAAATAATATACTGTATATCGTATGGTGAAAGGCTATTTATTTGTTTTAAGCGACATTTCACATAATATACAACATTTATCTTTGTAATTAATGTTCCGTTTTATTTGCTATTTTAGTGTCAACAATTCGAAGTTTTTAATTAAACTTTATTTAAGTTCAACCCATTCAAATAGCCGAAAAAGTCTTTTTTGTTATGATATTTTTTTCCATCTTTAAATGGCTCTGCTGTAAAATTGCAAAAATGTCCCTTAAACCAATTACCCTTTCACCCTTCGACATTATATATAATTAGATAAACGCACAGATACATATTAGATCACGACTCACCTTTCTTCTTGCTCTATATGGATAAGTAAGCAATAAGTAGACTGAAAAATTTAGCGAAATGTTAAAGTTGAAATTTACGCTACTTAATAACGAACGTCGTGTTAGGTAGGTACATACTTTTTCTTTAGCGCTGTTAGTATGTGCCTATTACATTATAAAATGGAAATGTTCTTTGTTTTGTGTAGCTGGAAACTGAATAAATTATTGGGAAAGAAACCATGATGTATTATTAATTAACCCCCACAAGATAATTTTATTATTAAGGAATTTTATGACTTGGTAACTATGATCTTTAAGTCATGTCTTATTTTAATTTATATTCTTATTTTAATGAAAAATGATAATATGGAGTGAAATGAAATGAAGATGATTAATTTGAGACGTTAATCAACTGGGATGAAATTAAATTAAATGAGATGAGATGGTATGAGATGAAATATTCTCAGTAAAATAATGGTTATTTACTGAGATCTTTTCAGTAGACTTTTCGTGGATCCCGAGAAGTTACGTTCAGCGGCTTTGTTTCATTTTCCCAAATTTGTGCACTTTCACAGACACTAAACAGTTAATAAACCACCGTTATTACAGATTTAAACCTGAAGAAACACTAAATAGACAAAATAAAACAAATCACACAACTTCACTCCTCGCGTTCCCGCCATAAAGTCCATTGATGAACTTACATAGTAGAATTAATGATAAAATATCTCTCTTCTACAATTTTGTTGGTATGGCAATTAGCTTCTTCCAATTAAAGTATCTTACAACGGAGTAGAAATAAATTAAGTAAATTTATGGAAATAATATTCAACTACGATGAAATTGAATGAAATTAAATGAGATAAAATGAAACAATATCCGAGTAAAATGGTGGGAATCCATTATCTTCTCAGTGGCCTTTCAAAAGCTTAAAGCCGTATTTGATGGCAGGAAGTTTTCATTATCATCTTTAACTATTAGACATCAGTAGCGCCACTTAGTCTTAATACCATTAATTTTCCAAAACTGCATTGCATTTACAATATGTAATAGCTCTTTGGATACAATTTTGTTACTCTAAAGCGCCTTATTCACGATCCATCACGGCTGTACGTCAGCTCAAGGCCGCGGTGCTGGATGTATTAAGCGCGAACAGAATTCGACGTACGTCAAGCCTATTCATGATCCTTTTGCATCGTGCATCGTGCATGGCCTTGGCGGGACGTACAGCAAGATGGATCGTGAATAAGGCGCTTAAGTATTTCATTTTTAAATACTCATAAAATCATTCATCATTCATTTCAAAAAATAATATGACATGAAAAATATAATATAAAAGACATATAATTCACGTGCTCACGTGAAAATAAAAACTATGATTGGATTATAGCTGTTCACCTGTGTTCTTCTTTTTACTTGACACAAATAAAATTTCAAATTAATCAAAAATCAAAGTGCAATTCTCGTAAACTGCTGAGTGGCGAAAAAGCCAAGTGGCACGTCATATTCAACTGTCAAACTTAAAAAAAAAATTGGATTGACGCCAAAAAAGCCGAAGCCGCCATTATTGTAAAATCGTATTGTAAAAATAAATTTCACGTGCTCACAGTGAGTACGATACAGTAAACAAGCTAATCAAACTAAAGAAAATCATGGCTGACAACGACGATCTTCTCGACTACGAAGATGAAGAACAAGCAGATCAACAGACTGCTGACGGGTCTACCGAAGTGGCGCCAAAGAAGGAGGTTAAAGGATCCTACGTATCCATCCACAGCTCTGGTTTTAGAGACTTCTTACTTAAGCCAGAGATACTCCGCGCTATTGTTGATTGCGGTTTTGAGCATCCTTCCGAAGTTCAACACGAATGCATTCCGCAAGCCGTCCTCGGTATGGACATACTTTGTCAAGCCAAGTCCGGTATGGGTAAGACAGCCGTGTTTGTTTTGGCAACATTGCAGCAGCTGGAACCCTCCGAGAGCCACGTTTACGTGCTTGTAATGTGCCACACCAGAGAGTTGGCTTTCCAAATAAGTAAGGAGTACGAGCGTTTCTCGAAATATATGTCAGGAGTCAGAGTGTCAGTATTCTTTGGTGGTATGCCAATTCAGAAAGACGAGGAAGTCCTTAAGACAGCATGTCCTCACATTGTAGTGGGAACTCCCGGTAGAATTTTGGCATTAGTAAACAGTAAGAAACTTAATTTGAAACATTTAAAACACTTCATCCTTGATGAGTGTGATAAGATGCTGGAATCTCTAGACATGAGGCGAGATGTGCAGGAGATATTCCGGAACACTCCTCACGGGAAACAGGTGATGATGTTCTCAGCCACATTGAGTAAAGAAATCAGACCTGTGTGTAAGAAATTTATGCAAGACCCAATGGAAGTTTATGTAGATGATGAAGCCAAACTCAAGCTACATGGACTGCAGCAACATTATGTGAAACTAAAAGAAAATGAGAAGAATAAGAAACTCTTCGAACTACTTGATGTATTGGAGTTCAATCAGGTGGTTATTTTTGTGAAATCAGTACAGCGCTGCATAGCTCTGGCACAACTGCTCACCGACCAGAACTTCCCTGCCATTGGTATCCACAGAAATATGACCCAGGATGAGCGTCTCTCCCGTTATCAACAATTCAAGGACTTCCAAAAAAGGATCTTGGTTGCAACAAACTTATTTGGCCGAGGAATGGACATTGAAAGGGTAAACATTGTCTTCAATTATGACATGCCTGAAGATTCAGATACATATCTACATCGTGTCGCCCGCGCAGGAAGGTTTGGTACCAAAGGTCTGGCCATTACTATGATATCTGATGAAAATGATGCCAAGATCTTAAACCAAGTACAAGATCGTTTCGATGTTAACATTACAGAGCTGCCTGAAGAAATTGAGCTCTCTACCTACATCGAAGGACGATAGATTAAGTTTCATTCCCATACCTATTTACTGCTGTGGCTCATTTTGTTGGTAATTAGACTGGCCTGCTTTAACATTGATTTGTAATACATTGAGCCACATTTACTGTTTAACTAGGTTTATCTAATTAAAGTGACATTTCATATTGTGATATCTGAATGTTTTATTTCTTTACCAACAATTTGGTAGATTTCATCGTTACCAGTAAGACAGGCTGTGATATGTTTAACTTTAGAATGTAGACAGGAAATTGAAATATTTATTTTGACTATGTTCATATTAAGGTAACAAAATATCCATTTTGAACATATCATTTTGTCTTTATGACTTCACTTCATGTTTTTATATTCTTAGACATGCAAAATTTACTGATATTGGATGTTAATACTTCACACAAATACTACTGGACGCATTTGGATAAAATTTCATGCCTAAAAACTTCAGAATAAAACAAGCCATAATTTAATTTGGAGTACCTACGTACAGTGTATGAGAGATGGGGTGCAAGTAGTTTCAAGAAATTACTGTTTTTAGAGCCTTGCTATAGGATAATTATACAGGAACGCGACCAGTTTTAACTGAAAAGTACAGAAGGCCCATGTCCAGTAACTGGTATCCACTACAAAATAAAAATCTATAATTGTCTGCCTACACTATATTGATTTAATTAAACAAAATTGGAAACACGTCCAAAGGTTTTTTTTATTATGTAAACTGGCATTTTATTATAAGTTCACAAAAGACAACAATAAAAAGTAATGTATGTCCATAAACTTGTTACCTTTACATGTTAAAAAAATGATGAATGGAAAAAGCGATACTGCTAAAAACATACTTTATTTTAGCACCATTTGCATACAAAATTGATAACTAAATATTTAAATTAAGCTTATAGTTCTGCATTTAATTTTTTTTACTGGTGGTAGGACCTCTTGTGAGTCCGCGCAGGTAGATACCACCAGCCTGCTTATTTCTGCCGTGAAGCAGTAATGCGTTTCGGTTTGAAGGGTGGAGCAGCCGTTGTAACTATACTTAAGACCTTAGAACTTATATCTCAAGGTGGGTGGCGCATTTACGTTGTAGATGTCTATGGGCTCCAGTAACCACTTAACACCAGGTGGGCTGTGAGCTCGTCCACCCATCTAAGCAATATTTTTTTGTTATTAAAATATTAATAAACACCAATTATCAATTTCATTTTTATTGCTCTTTATTCCTTAATATTCATTAACTGGAATTTTTCAATAGTATAAATAGGTACTAGTCAATGTAGCACAACTGCTATGCAATGATTTCCACCACAGCCTAAAGATTACTGTATGACTACTAGTATTAACTTTTATATATTGAGGCGAAACCTCAATGGTAATACCCTAACACTATCGTTCAAACTGGGATGCATGGACTACTTTGAGGCAGAAATCACCACCAGTAATATATTAACAATAGTTTCTAACCATGAGAATTCTTTCTGAGAGAAGCTAAAAGGGTACCTTTTGCTCTGTAGCAATTAATTTAATTGACTGTGAATGAAAAACGTGGGTTATTATCAATTACATAAACCATTAAAATTTATTTAAATACAGTTCAATCACAAGTATGCCAATAATCCTTAAAATGCTGACATAAAAAATAAAAGAAACCATTCAATGGACCGAGTTTTCTTATTGTAAATAACTAGAAACTGGTTACAAAGAATCCAAAGTTTGACCAATTTCAGCTTTATCAAAGTAGGTTTTCTCATGGGTGAACCTAGTAATCAAGTCTAAAGCCCATTTTGGCTGATCTCCAGGCACCATATGACCTGCATTTCTTACTAATATTTCAACAAGTTTTCCAGCTTGCTTCACATAACCTGCAACCTCTCCATCCACCTTCCAAATGTACCGTTTTGCAGTCTTATACTCATCAGATCCAGTAAAATTGAGGTTTCTTAAATAATTAACAGTCAAAGGATATGCTACTATAATGTCTAGCTGACCATTGTAGATAACAATATAATAATTGTCCAATAGTTCTGCTATCCAAGGTCCCACTGACTTCATCACATCTTGCTTGAGATGCTTCTCAACTTCAGTTCCATTATTAAACAGTAAGTCTCCAACGTGTATGGCTTTGCGGACTGCACTTCTTTGAAGCATTGGGCCAAAGTCCTCAAACTGTGTATAATCCTTAGTGTGGAGGTAGTTAAAGTAAAAATCAAAACCAGTCATGTTTTTAAAAACACTTGATCCATTCAACATGTCACCATTCAACAAGGTGTCAAAGGTCTCAAACGCTTTATCCCACTCTCCCTGATTTATGAAATCTTTTGTCTTATTTTCATACTGTTCAAATACTTTAGCCTGGTTCCAGTCAATTAATCCTATTTGATACAGATATTTACCATATACGAGCTGATGTACAGGGTCACTCAAACCATTTCCTATTGCAATACCCTTCATATTAATTTTAATCTGTGCTGTAGGATTTTTCTTGTGAATTGTGTAGGCCAGAGCTGGTACATACTTTCCTCCATATGATTCTCCAGTCACAAAAAATTTATTGGTTTGAAGTTCTGGAAACAACTGGAAGAACTGGATCAGAGTGGAGTATAACTGTTCGCCAACTTGAGTCTCATCAACACAGTAGCCTTTAGGATCTTTAGTGAAACTGAATCCAGTGCCAACAGGGTTGTCAATATATATAATATGATGACTGAGGGCCCAGTTATACTTTCGTCTCTCAAACTTCTTATTGCGAACCCTTAAAGGACCGTTTTCTGTGAAGAGTCCATACAGAGATGTAGCGCCGGGGCCTCCTTGGAGCCAGACGATAACCGGTGCGTTTTTGCTGTTCGGAACCATAGCAGGAAAGTACCAGAAGAACTGGTTGGAGTCGTAAGTCTTATTTACCGTGAAGTAGCCTGCATAACTTTTAATGCGCAGGCTTTCAGTAAATGGTACTCTGGCTAGACGCCTCCCTGTAGTGATGTTACCGCTTTCCACATATGGCGTAAGGAACAAAGGCTCACCAGGGTCCCCGCCATCTCGCTCTCCGAGATTTAATTTCGGATAGTGATGCAGGAAGGCCCGGGCCTCTGACAAAATGGTTATCAACAACAAAACTTGATACATGTCGTATCGCACTCGCGTTACGACGTCGAATGTAAAGCGGGAATAATGATTAAAATGCTTTAATTTAGCAATTTAATTATAACTCGTATTGTACCTAACCTTTTATCAACCTTGTTTACATTATATGTGACCGGGACCGGTGCCGGTAGGTTAAGTTTCGGTCAAGTTTTATTTATTTTGATTTTTATATGTAGTCAGCTAAGTGGGTATAGAATAGTATAGATACTTGACTTACGACGTTTTAAAACTAATTAATTACAATGTCAAGTTATTTTGATGCTTAATGTTTAACGATAAATTATATAATGCCATGAAGCAATCACGCGTTTCACCACCAGAACAATCTTTCTGCAATAAACTTTAATTGCACGAGAGCCCTACCATAATAATAATTATGGTCGAAATGTCACTTTAATTGATAGATGGGATGAGCAAATATGAATGCTTTACAATTGTTTGGATGAAGTTCAACATAGCGATTATTTCAAGGATTTTAAACAAATTTGTAACTTCTATTCATTATCACGATTACCCTAAATCTTTACGTAGTGAAAAAGTGAAAGACAAAAAACAATATGTGCAATTTTCGCCAGTCTTTGTAAAAATGTAAAGGTTTTTTTTTTGTTAGTTACTATTGAAGAGCATTATCGTTATCAATTTGTTTTGTTTGTTAGTACATTTTTCCTCAAGTTGTTGATAACAAAAGAGGAGACAAAAATAATCTAATTGTTGAGATGACAGATGAACAAAATAAATTTGAATTAACGGGCAAAAACTAGTTTATCACAATTTAAAAATATTTTTTTTCCTACCTAAGCTGATAGCCCTAGCGGCTATGTCAGCGTAATCCTAACTTTAGTAGGTGAGCTCACGGGGCTCAACCTGACGATGTTGCTAACACGAACCCTAGCTCTTGCTAGGCTCTTGCCGTGCTTCGCACAATCTACTACCGGATCGGAAACGCGACCCACTGAGAAGATCCGGCGAGAAACTCAGTGGGCACAATTTAAACTCGTTTCGATTACCTCATATAGGTACATAAAATGCAGTTCATATTTAAGGGGATAGATGGAGCTAGATATGTTTAATACGAGTGTGTAGGTAATAAATTAAGACCATCTATAGATATTATGTAAAAAACTTAATATTTGAGAAATGAAATATAACAGTAACTGACAAACATTTATCGTAAAGTCACTAGAGCTGTACCAAAAATGTAAAAAAAATCTTAGTAAATGACCACCGTTTTACTAAGATTACATTTCATCGCATATCATCTCATTTCATTTCATTTCATCCCAGTTGATTAATGTCTCAAATTAATCATCTTCATTTCATTTCACTCCATATTATCATTTTTTCATAATAATATAAATTAAAATAAGACATGACTTAAAGGTCTTAGCTACCAGGTCATAAAATCCCTTAAAAAAAAACATTTAGCCCGCTGAGTTTCTCGCCTGATCTTCTGCGGGTCGCGAATATATTTTATGTGGTACATCTTCGATCAATCTATTGTTGATCGAAGCGGTACATACACAAAACTAACTTTTACAATTTTTGTCTGTCTGTTTGTTCTGGCTAATTTCTAGAACGGCTGGACCAATTTTGACGAGTAATGTTTAAATAACATAATTTAATAATTAAAATATGCGTTCAGTTGATTCAATTCATTATTATTTAAGAAATATTCAGTAGGTACTAATATATTTCCTGTCGACTATTAGATACAAAACATAGACATAACAATATAATGGTTGACCATTTTTCACCAAAGTTTTTTGCGGAATACAAAGGATTTGTTCCACGAAATTCTTAGAATCACTAAAACAGCAAAACAATAAAAAATCTGGCAGTGCGCGTGAGGCAACGCGCTGTTAGGGTTCCATATTCCAATTGAACATTGACGACTTCATTTTTTTAATTTTATATTTATGCATAGATGGGTGGACGATCTCACAACCCACCTGGTGCTAAGTGTGTACCGGAGCCCATAGACATCTACAACGTAAATGCCGCCACCGCCTTGAGATAATGATATGAGTTCTAAGGTCTCAGTATAGTTACAACGGCTGCCCCATACTTCAAACCGAAAAGCATTACTGCTTCACGGTAGAAATAGGCAGGGTGGTGGTACCTACCCGTGCGGACTCACAAAAGGTCCTACTACCAGTTTCAAATTAAAGGTATTGGATTAATTATTAGACGACTTGTCGCTTATCTAGAATTAGTGGCTTAACCCTTATCCCAACTTATCCCATAGACACAACTCGCTAAATTTCTCGCCCAATCTCCTTAGTTGATCTCGATTCCGACTCGGTAGTAAATAGAGCAAAGTTCTGCTAGATAAGTAGATATTGACAAATTCTCTCAGACTGGGCTGAAGCCAGAATCCGAATAGAGAAGTAATGAAATTGTTCCCATCACCTGCGGAATCCTAGTAAATAAAAGTCTAGTTGAATAAAAGCGTATGTATAGATCGTTCATAAAATACATATCTCAAATGTTGCCAGATGTATACAAAATTATTGATCCCTAGAGTAATCGAAATAAACACGTTCCTTTTCGTTAATTACATTAAAATTCAATAGTTGCATTATTCTCTGCAAATTATAACTTTTTATCTTTTATTACCCACCTAAGCGTTGGTAGCCTAAAGGGTTATTCCAACTAGGCGCAGATCGGTAAGTCGACTCACGGGCTCAACTTGAGAGAATTGCTCACACTGACTAGAGCAAGAATCTACCATCGGATCAGAATTGCGAACCGCTGAGAAGATCCGGCGAGAAACTCAGCAGGCTGTGTCTATGGGTTAGTTCGCCCGTCGAGCTCTTCGTCGTAATCAACGAGAACGGTGACCGGTGCTTGAATAGTCTAAAATGACCGCGAGCGGAACCGTTAAGATATGTTTTGGGCGACGGTGGCTTTGCTTTGCTGCGTCGCCTAGTCAGATATGTAAAATTAGCGCAGGCCACGATAAAAGGTTTATTGTGTCGCGCCGCTTTATCAAAGTAGCGTTTTGGCGCTTCCTTAAGATACGTTCGGTTACTTCCTTACATATCGGTTCTAGAATTAAGTCATCGTGAAGATCAACATTCCTCTCATATCACGGTCCTCCAACGGTTATCCTGCAGTATCTTCACCATTATATTCATAGTCTTTGATATCTGTATTAATAAAGCAATGAACAGAGTTGATATAAACTTCAACATGACCTTCGATTGCATTGTATTTTAATGACGATCATCCTACCCTAAAAGCGGAATTGTGCAGATTATTTCGTGACAGAAATAATCAGGTAAAATTCATGGTGTGAATATTAAAACAATTTCTTTGTAAAATTGTCTGAACACTATTTATTTATTAAATTTCATTTGTTTTTATTTCATATTTAACATTAACAACTGAAAGCAGTATTTATGTTTTGAATCGTATGTATCCAATCATTTACAATTGTCAACTCGTAGGTTAATTTTACAGTTAAGCTTTTCGTTTAAAATCGTACAACATTTTATATGTATATTTACCAGACCGCTGGAAGAAAGCCTCTAAATTGGCCGCCCCCTAAGATCTGCCGCAGGCTTGAGTCTACTAGTAAACCCGACTGCTAATTAATCCGGCAAGGGAAAACCGTGAGTGTTTTCAGTTTGCCCGTGATTGCCACATTTCATCAGTCACATTACTTTAAATACTCTAGTAACCCTGTTAAATAATCGCTAAACCAAGCTCCACACTTCAAGGTCAAATTGCCGGAATTGAAGAGTATGTACATATGTATTGTACTGTACGTATTGAAAAGGAACAAAAAATAGTCGAGTTAAGTGTTTGATGTACATACCTAACCTCAATATTTATTCAATAATTTACTATGGGATGTGAATAAATTAGAAATTGCCGGTAAAATCCCTCCGATGTTGATTCAGTGCGTGATCGCAGTGAATATAAGGCGAAAATAAAAAAACCAATATCCGGGGAGAAGTCGTACACCACAAACGGAATTCTTATGTTAAGGGAATCAAAGACTGAAATATATACTTATATACATTTTAATTTATGCACATATAGATTTTAAGCACCCAGACAAACAACAAACAAACTAGGTCATCACACGAATGCTTGCAGGAATCGAACCCGCAACTGTTGGCCTGGCAGTCAGAGGCGTTAACTCATGTGCAATTTAAGGTACCCCCGACACTGATAGGGTCAAATAAATCTTCGGGTCTTCCTGAGCCGGAAAATACGATCGTACAATGAGTTGCAATTACTGGGGCATAAAATGATACTTTCCGAGATTTTCCCGATCATTAAAAGAATATAAGCGGTAGGCAGTGGCTAGCGGTAGGCAGCGGCTTGGCTCTGTCCCTGGCATTGCTGAAGTCCATGGGCGACGGTAACCACTCACCATCAGGTGGACCGTATGCTCGTCTGACTACAAGGGTAACAAAAAAAAAATGCATTTGAAAAATAAAGTTTTTGTTTTTTTTTTATCATCGATTTTAATATCTGTCAGATTTCCAAGAGCTACACACAAGTTTGATCTAGCAATTCACCTAATTAAGTTAGTACTTAAACCATAGATTACGTACCTACATTACACAATAACATAAAGCAAACATCTATGACAAGTGGCTGCTTGTATTTGTTTGTATATCAATTCTCGCGCAAATATTTGCTCCTTATTTCATTGGGCAGGACCAAATCTACTCAACCTGCAGTCGTGAAGATATATTAAATAACCTGTGGACCATGAAATGACAGTCCGGTTTCGTTCACGATAAGTGTCGGACGTACAATGGATACTTCTAATTCAGTGACATCTACATTTACCTAAAAACATTGGTGACTAAAACTCCTTTTAATAATTATTCCATCCGGAACATAATTTTGATTATACGAACTAATTGCTTCAAATTATTTACTCGTCATGATGGCTGTGAAATGGAAGCCTCTGCTGAGCGCAGTGCCGTGTGTTTTGTTTTTTTCTACTTTGTTCCCGCTGAACGGCGCTAAATTTCCGAATGTTTATCCACGAGTGAAGCTGGACGCTCGACCTAATGACTCAGCGGGGGATCCTCTCATGCTGACGCCGTTTCTCAAAAACGAGTCCATAGCCCTCGCCCAGGAACTATCAAGAGTGTCATTGACGGAAACACTTGGGATCGAGAGTCACGCGGGATTTTTTACAGTTGACGAGAAGTTCAATTCAAATATGTACTTTTGGTATTTCCCGCCTTTATCGAAGAACGAAGCTGCACCGGTTTTGCTGTGGCTGCAAGGAGGTCCCGGGGCCAGCTCCTTATTCGGGCTCTTTACGGAAGTCGGGCCGCTGGTCGCAGGCAAGGACGGTTTTACCAAAAGAGAGCATCATTGGGCTAAGAACTATCACCTGATTTTCATCGACAACCCCGTGGGGACCGGCTTCAGTTTCACCGACAAAGATGAAGGTTACTGCACCGATGAGACGTGTATCGCTAAAGGACTCTTCGCAGCAATGGACCAGTTCTTCACTTTGTTCCCGAATTTGAGGGCGAATGATTTCTACATAGCCGGTGAGTCATACGCCGGTAAATACATTCCGGCGTTCGGGTTGTACGTTCACAATCTTAATCAGGAATCGAAAAGAATCAATTTGAAGGGCATGGCCATCGGAAACGGCTACTGCGACCCCCTTCATCAGCTCGACTACGGTGACTATCTGTACCAGCACGGTCTGATAGACGACAACCAACTGAAAACGTTTTTAAAATATCAACTCGAAATTTCGACTCGTATCAAGAACGGAGAATATTCAACGGCCGCGTATTTGCTCGATGAACTGTTTGATGGTGAAATGACCAAGAATTCAATGTTTAAAACCTACACAGGATTTGAGAATTCATATAATTTTCTGGTAAGCAAGGAGGAAGACGATATGACTATTTACGCGGATTTGTTAAAGGACGACACCGTGCGACGCGGCGTGCACGTCGGAGGCCTGGCCTTCAACGACGGCCTGCAAGTGCTGACCAATTTGGTGGACGACCTAACGCGGTCCGCCGCCCCGCTGCTAGCCAAACTGCTCTCTCACTACCCGATCATGTTCTATAGCGGACAGCTGGACATCATTGTCGCGTACCCTCTGACGGAAAAATTCCTCGCTAACTTGAACTTCTCCGCTGTGATCGAGTACAAGTTTGCCCCGAGGAACATCTGGAGAGTGGACGGCGACGTCGCTGGTTACGTCAGGAAGGCCGGCAACCTGACCGAGGTGTTGGTTCGGAACGCAGGCCACATGGTGCCGCGGGACCAGCCTAAATGGGCCTTCGAACTAATAACGCAGTTTATCAATAAAATTTTGTAAAAATTTCAGCAAGATTATTTAGCTTGTAATTCAATGTTAGAAAAAACACAAAATTAAATAGTTGCAAATCCTTTTTTTTCTCTTCTTAAATTCAACAGTAACATAATGTAAATATTTCATATAGATTACTTTAGTTCGTAAATCAATATTAAAACAAACACAAAACAAAGATAAAAACCTTTTTTTTCTTTTCGTAGGTAGGTATATCACGCACGAATGTTTCAAAACTAATAATATTAGTAACTTATTTAGAAGTACCTACCCAATCAAAATGGGTCCTGTGTTTATCGAGATTGATACTAAAATATTACTACACTTGTCGCTTCATTGTCGACTATTTGTGCGATCTCAAATAATGTTCAGAGACCTAGTTAATTGAATAATCTTTCCACAAAAGTCAGGGGTTTCAACGGTTCGTTACCTCGTTAGATAATAATAACCTAGTCTACATACACTACAGACAGATGTGTTCCTATTTTGCTTGCTGTAGGTGTTTATTGTTATTATCAACAAATTGTCGAGGTTAAAAAGTGCGATGACCCCATATTTTTTACACACATAAATTTGTTTGGCTATCAAGACTACTGTAACAACAAATTGGGTTCGAAATTCGACACGAAGAAACTAGGTACGTATTATCGTTTATCGTTAAGAATACAATACCATCTTGTCAATATATAAAACAACAAAAACAAACACATAATATTTCACAGAAACTCCTTCTTGTGCTCGTTCGCCCATTTAAGCAATAATTAAAATATTTAATACATATCTAGTACTAGCCTATTTGTTTGTAGAATAGTTTCTAGAGTGATTATCTATTTTTCTTATATTTAATTAAGAAACCCATCGCTATTGCGATGGGCTTCTTTAGCGATGCCAATATCGCCAAATATACATAAATTCTCGCCGGATCTTCTCAGTAGGTTGCGATTTCGATCCGGTGGTAGATTTAGCGAAGCATTGCTGTTGCTAGGGCTTATCAAATTCTCTGAGATTGCGGCCATGAGTTCAACTACACATCTGGTGAAGCCTGAAAAGCCCCTCGAGGCTACTGGCAATAAATAGGTTAAAGAAAAAAAATCGGAGAAATTAACTTAAAATTTATTTATAATCTAGACTGCTGGTTTAAATTGCCAAAAAACTACTGGAATTTTGGTAAGAATCCAAGAGTACATGTTAATGTTTTCATTTCCCCAAGAGAAGTCTTTTTTCTAATAATAAATGGTTAATAATATAAATACGTAGTTGCCTATTAATTTATGTTTACATGTGAGGAAATACGAATTTTAAAAATAAAAATAATTGACACATCACTTCCCGCCAAAACCCTTTAGAGGTTATAGAGACAATACCTATTTTACATTAAAAATATTTTTTAATCTTCGTTTAAATTGTCTATGGCCGAAGCGACGGTTGCATACGAATCCATGGTTGTACTGTCAGTAAAATCACATATAAAATTACGACTGGTATTAGTGCTAAAAATTATCATCTCTAAATAAAAAACACTCTCCGCTTAAATCTAACGTTTATTATTTATTATTAATTTATTTAAATTAATTTTACAATTCTAAATGATCTCAGAACTTTCTCTTTTCTTAGTCACAGACCACAGAACAAAAAATTAATATCTAAAAATTATATCAGGGTAAAGAAAAACAAACAAAAATAAAATGTTTAAAAACGCTTTATTTCATCGAGCTAAACTACAAATAAATATTCTAATTAAGTCAATATTTTTAGCATAATTATTAAATTACTAATTTTACTGATGGGCGAGGTGTACATGGGAGTGCATTATAAGTGACAATATTCAATGAAAAAAAATACATTAAAATAAGTATTTAGAATTAATTGTCTGTTTTTAATTTCTCAATCACTGTTCTGCCTTCAGTTTTCGTAGACTTCATTAAGTATTAAATTTTAATTCGTCTTTTTTTTGTTATTGTATTATTTTTTTTTGTTTTGTATTTTTTTTTGTATGGGTATGTATTATTGTTACTGTAAATTTATCTTGTATTATTTCCGACATTACGAATCCTTTATAGTGTTCGTTTACATGTTGTTCTTAAATATTAAGCGTATTTATTATCTATGCATGTTGTGCACATGCATGTGTGCTGCTGCCCAGGAGCACTTCGGTTGTTCGAGAAAATAAAAACAGTAGATTCTAGACGAAGCAACCAATACGACAATAAGAAAGGTCATTTAAAACCGTCAAAGTAGTATTAATTGGCGGTAGGACCTCTTATGAGTCCGCACGGGTAGGTACCACCGCCCTGCCTATTTCTGCCGTGAAGCAGAAATGCGTTTCGGTCTGAACGGCGGGGCAGCCGTTGTAACTATACTGAGACATTAGAACTTTATCTCAAGGTGGGTGGCGCATTTACGTTGTAGATGTCTATGGGCTCCAGTAACCACTTAACACCAGGTGTGAGGTCGTCCACGTAGCAGTAGAAGAGTTTGAGTGTTATTACTAAACAAGGATGGGCTCGGTCAGGCCAGCAGCGCGGTGAGCGCGTCCAGGAACTGCGGGCGCTGCGCGGCGGGCAGCGTCACCACGGCGGAGTCGAAGTGGTCGAGCGACACGGAGGCGCCGCACTTGGCCGCCGCCTGCTCGAACGCCGCCCCGAACAGACTGGAACACGACACGACAGTGGACAACACTTTAAAAACTATTCAAGGAATTAGTAGCCGACTAGCTGACCCGGCAGACTTCGTAGTGCCTCAATCGATAAATAAAAGCCCACTGAGTTTCTCGCCGGATCTTCTCAGTGGGTCGCGTTTCCGATCCGGTGGTAGATTCTGCGAAGCACTGCTCTTGCTAGGGCTCGTGTTAGCAACGTCGTCAGGTTTGAGCCCCGTGAGTTCATCTACTAGTTAAGGCGACGCTGATATAGCCTCTCAAGGGTATCAGCTTATGTAGAAAAAAAAAGAAAGATACAGATACTTTAGCTCATTTTTTCTATATACTCTGTATACGACTCAAAAGTCAGTATTTTTTATTTTTATTTGCTGCCTGTGAACATTTTTCCAATTTAAAGGACAATGCCCATTTTCTTAGGGCGTTTGGGCCCCTAAAAAAAATTGTCGGATCATGATGGTTTTAACTTAATTTGATAGACAAAGAAATATCGTTTCATATTCAGAAGACGATTTTTATATTCTCACCCAGGCTTAAGAGAAATCTGTTTATTTCTGCAGCTAAAATTAAGTTGTTAATTGTTTTCTTCGAAATCAATAATCGCTCTCATCATTATTTACAGTATTAAATAAGTTATTGTGGTTAATGTTGCTAGAAATAAGCCCTTACGTACATTTTATTATCATTATATCCTCATAATAATAATAAAATAAAATGAAAATGCGGAAGCCGGCAACGATATTGTTGTTGTTTTTAAATTCGCCAATAAGCAGGCAAAGAGCGTAACCTATACAGCCTAGTCTGTCGTAGTTATATTTTTTTATGTCAATAAAAAGCCGGTGTATCCTCTTTTTATTGCTTTTTGGGAGTTTTGACGTCAACTCGATGAATAGCACATTGAGTGAGCGTGAAATTCCACAGACCTTTTATCTTGAAAAAAAAAAAACAGTCACTGCTATGTTAGCCACAGTTTTATTCCAATGCCTCAATAATCGTGAATGCCTCAAGAATCGTTTAATACACAAAACAACACCCAATTTATATATTATATCACAATAAACTATTAAAAAAACATTAAAATAAAACTTCAAGAGACGCTTCACTCGGGTTGCTGCCAAAACTCTCTGATCNCTCTAGTTTTGACTTAATAGAAGGAATATCTATTTTACCCCAAGATTAAATTATTGCAATTATTAACCTATATTTTTTGTTGATGATCTAATAAATATATAAATAAATACATATGTTGATTTTAATAATTTAATTGCATTATGACGCAGAGTAAATAATGTTTTTGCACGTGAGTGTACCATGCGCAAACTTACCCCCACTACGTCAACAAATGCTCAAGAAGTTTGCCGGTTATTATACTTAGTATAAAGAGGAAATAAAAACAGTTTTTTTAATGATCATGTGGCATTAGCAAAAGATTGAATGAATACCATGTTATAGGTTACAGTTTATTAACCCTTTGACTGTCGTGTAGGTCACCGGTGCCCTACGCGGCGCACTGAAGTAATCATGTCGATTTCTGTTACTAAGGCACCTGGACTGCCTAACTTTGCCTTCTTTTCTTTGTGGCTGTATGTTTTAGTCTTTTTTTATCCTCCCAGTCTACTAGATATGCCTTAGTAACAGAAATCGATATAATTACTTCAGTGCGCCGCGTAGGGCACCGGTGACCTACATGGCACTCAACGTGTTAGGATTTTTTAATTGATATAATTAAAAGATTTTTTTTTTTTTGATAATTTCTTATTTTGTATCCACGTCGTGCCGTGTACTGGTGGAAGAGTGACATGGGGTCGTGTGTACTTACTTCCTGGTGTCAGTCCGCTGCGGCGGCGGCACCCCGCACAGCAGCACGGTGCGGCCCCGGGGCGCCGCCACCAGCACGGCGCCCGCCCCCCGCCCCGCGCCCGCGCCCGCCCACCGCGCGCACACCGCCAGCCACCACGGACCCCACTCGCACTCCGCCGCGCCCTGCTCGCGACACGCAAAACAATGTGTTAATGTGACAGATACAATATTTTTTAAATCTATTTCACGGATGGACGAGCTCACATCCCACCTGGCGTTAAGTGTCCTGGCTGCAACGGTAACAAACTTTATCTTCTTCTTCTTCTCCTCCTTATCCCAGTAGGTGAGTTCGGCACAGCGTTTTTTCTATTCCATTCTCATCTATCAGCCGTCAGCTCAACACTAACCCATATCGTCATTCACAAGCTTCTTTCATGTCTTCTTCGGTGAACCTTCTTCCTCTCTACCTTGCACTACCATTTCCATACATCTCCTCTCTACGCATCACGCTAACCGTCCGGTGTCTAGTAGTGGGTGGACAGTGGGCGCGCACCTCGCTGATGGTGAAGTGCGCGAAGGGCCCGGCGTGGTGCAGCGCGCGCGCCGCCAGCGTGGCGCCCGCCAGCGCCGCCGCCGCCGCCAGCCCGCGCCGCGCCGCGCCCAGCCCGCGCTGCCGGGCCTCGCACTCCGCGCTCGACGTGTCCACCGACGCCAGCGCCAGCTGGAACCCGCCGGGGCCTTCCTGCAAGTTCATCACATTCAATTTATAGAAACTAATTTAGAATCGTTGTGATTTCAAACTCGATGAAACGAAAAAATAAGTCCATAGAGACACAAACACATAAATGTATAGCATTCAGCCGACGAGAGAATGAGATAGAACACATTAGACGTTCTCGGTCTCCTCTTTGTGCGACTCTTCGTAGCATCCCTATTATCGTCTACTAAACATTGTTCATATGTATGCTCTTGTGTAGTGGGATAGTCAGTATATCTATATTTTATTTATAAGTTTCACGTCAACCGTATGTGACTTGCACACACACATATTTTTTTTATTGCTTAGAAGATCTTGCAACGGGCACGTTAAATTGTCAATAGACCAACTGTCCGTAAGTTCGGAACTTGTATATATGCAAGATAACCTTGAAAATGTCTTAAGCGAAATTCAGGTATCTATTAAATACCATGTTTTTTTTTTTGATTGGCTTTGTAGGCAGACGAGCATATGGCCCACCTGATGGTGAGTGGTTACCGTCGCCTATGGACTTCAGGAATGCAAGGAGCAGAGCCAAGCCGCTGCCTACCGCCTCCACAAGCCTCGTTTGAAGAAGGACCATGTGTTGTATGACGCGCTGTGGGTTGGGGGGGGGGGTTACTCACGAGCTCAAGCAGCGCCATGACGCAGTAGACTATGTCGAGTGCGGCGAGCGGCGCGCAGTGGTCGCGGCGCAGGAGGTAGGTGGCGTGCGTGAGGCGCGGCAGGTGGTGCTTGTCGGCGGCGGCGTCCAGCGCGTCCAGCAGCGAGCGCCGCAACTCCACGTCCATGGAGCGGTAAGCCTGGCGGGCCTGCTGCAGCGGGATCCTGCACAGTACGGAAACTCAGGATCTTCACCAACTAACAAAACAGTTTTATAAAAAATGAAAAAAGCCGGATTGCTTTTGCTGGGCTAAATATAAGTCTATACATCAGCAGTATTAGGTTAAATCTATACATATAAATAAAATTGCGAGCGTCTGTTTGTAATATTAAAATAACCGCTTTTTACTACATGCATATGAATATATATAAGGTACACCAAAATAACATTTTTTACCATTTTTGTCTGTCTGTCTGTTTGTTCCGGCTAATCTCTGGAACGGCTGGACCGATTTTGACAGGACTTTCACTGATAGGTAGCTGATGATATAAGGAGTAGCTTAAGCCTTACTTTTTTCAGACTAGCTTCGCCCCGCGGCGTCACCCGTGGTACGACGGGACATATTATCGCGGGACTCAACTATCAATAATAAAATTTAATGTTTCCGAAGCGAAGCGAGGGCGGGTCGCTAATCTACAATAAAATCTGTGATAATCATGTGCTGTTTTTACAAACTATAGATCTATTATAAGGAAAACTAATGTCCGGATACATATTCGACCAAATATATACCGATACCTCAAAGTCCAATTTTGTATATACCACTTCCTCTTTTACTATCATTTTCAGTGCTACTCATCGGATTTGACAACTCATTTATATGAAACAGCTTAATTGTGACCTTATAAACTTTAGAACAGGCTTACCCCATATCTGCCAATAGCTGCCTCAATCTGTCAGCACCGGCCAGTGAATGAAGACGAAGATGAGGAGCCACAACTGGAGAATACTTCAACGCATTCTCCAAAGACCAGGTCCGGTAGAGTGGCAGGAACGCATCCTTTTCCATGCTTACTGAAGCACCCTGAGAATTAAAAATAGATTTATAAGAATATTTTCATACAAAAGTGTAAGTTTTTTGACGAAGCATGTTGCTGATAACTCTATTTCTGTAATCTGACGAAGCGTGTTGCGGATAATAATATGTACTTTTAGGTTATTAAAATAATATTTTGTGTAAATGTTTGGAAATAAAGTGTAAAAGAGATAAATAAATTATGTGTTACAATAGTTTTTCTATATTACATCTGTTAAGTACCAGTGTCAACATATCCTATTCTGCAGACCGAATGTTTATCACGTCGACGTCAACATCGTCCTAAGCACGTCATTTCGCATCCTCCCGATCCACTAACGGTGCTTTTAGGTACCTCAAGCACCAGTCACCTTTCTCATCGAGCCCGTCGCTTGTAACGTAGGGTTCGGGCTAGTAAATTAACCCACTTACACAGCCCACTGAGTTTCTCACCAGACCTTCCGATCTGATGGTAGATTCAAACAGATAGAAGCAGAACAATGCTAGGGCTAGTGTTAGCAACGTCCACAGCTTAGAGCCCCGTGAGCCTACCTACTCTCTCAGTTACGCTGGCATAGCCTCTAAAGCAGGGGTTCCCAAACTTATTTTGTCCACTGCCCACTTTGAAAATAAATTATTTTTAGCGCTCGCATTTTTTCACTTTCTTAAAAACCACTATAGCGAGAGCTTAGTCGGTGTCTAAGAGTCCTCTTAGATGAAATTACAAATCACATCCCAAGCCTCTACACAGCGCCCCCATTTTTTTTCTGGGTCTCTTACCGCGCCCTTTTTAGGCCTGCAGCGCCCACGAGGGGGCGTTATCACCCACTTTGGGAAAGGCTACCCAGCATAGGTAGGAAAAAAATTACCAGTGTCAATGTACAGTAGTTGTATCTCGTGCATGATATTGATGTGTGCCCATATATTTATGTGCAGTAACATACTCACATGTGAAGGTAGTTGCGCGGCGAGATGTCGATGCAGCGCATGTGCATCAAGCAGAGCTTGTGCAGGGGAGCGTGTGTGAGTGGCAGCATACGCGCTGACAGCTATGCATCCTGCCCACGTGTACTCCACTCCGCTGCGACATAGCAGCCAGGCCAGCTCTACTGCTGTGCAAGCACTCTAATGCAATTGTATTATTAGATTAAGACTTACCTGTACATAATGGTAAAATTCATATTACAAGTGAGATTAATACAAGACTGGATCTACTTTATTCATTAATGTCCATAATTATTGTTAACACAGTTCAATAGGTTTATCAGACGTTTTACTCACCGGTTTACCATAATATGAGAATTGAGTGTAGTTAAACATAAGATCGTTTCGTTTTGTTTCCCATTCTCTACGTTGACGGCGTCTCTCGACAAAAGCTTCTAGGTCTTCTCGACCACTTGGCATTTCTTCTTCGTTCTGTAATTATTTTTAATATCTTCACACTGACTCCAAATTTTAAATACCATTAAATTTTTATTGTAAACTAGATTTTTAAAAACTTTTGGAGTTTGCAGCATTGCAAAATAGTCTTAAATCAGGTATTACAGTTTCGTACCTCTTCATCATCATCTCTGAATATATCATCAAAATTAGGAATGTTCTCTTCTTCATCACGGTACACCAGTCTCACCTGTAACAGAACAAAATATATATTTTTCTACCTGCCTACCTGCAGTAACCACTAATTTCACTGAACATGATTTTTTTTCTAAAAGTTAAAACAATAAAACCATGTTAGCTTCTAAATTCCCTTCCTTTATTTGAGGTCAAGTTTTCTGATTCTGTTCTGTTGAGACACTTTGCTACACTTTGTGTCACATCTAACATAAAATGTACTTTGTCAAATTTTGGCTCTGAGTTATCTTTCTATCTCTAACTAACTAATCTAGTCTTTTGAACAGTTATTCCGGTTGGTTCTCACAAACTTCATATGAAATAGAGTGGGTTAAGAACTTTTTTCATTTGTTCACCCATCCATAAGCAAGTTTATGTCTGTCTAAAAATTCAATTCCCAAATCATTGCCAACATAAAGTATTTATAATATCTGCTGCTCTATCTAGTTCCACTAACCTGTCCATCGCTATAAACATTGCAGACATCAGTCGGTTTATGGGAGTCCAGCACAAAAAATACCACATCCTCTTCGGGCTGTAAGATATCGACCAGGTCTATAGTACCTCCGCAGTTCACCAACACTACGTACTTGACTTCTTCATTGTTTTCTTCGTAAGCAGTCTTCAATTCAGAAATACCCCCCACCGGCACTAGCGTATATGATATATTATCACTCTTGAATAATCCTTGAAGTATTTTACATGTACATATTGCATCTACATCATAATGCACTAATAATAACACGCGCTGGAAGTAAATTAACAAAAATAAAATTTTCAGGTCAATATTTCACGAACTTATTCATCTTCAGTTTTAAAGCTTACATTGCCTAAAAGGAGATTGTAAAAGTCATTTCTGAGGTCCTCTATAAACATTTTTGCCGTACACAGGAACGAATAACTCAGGAAATAACCATTTTCCTCTGAGTGTTAGAAATTTTTAACATAAAAAAACATTGAACCACCATTGAACACCTGCGGCTTCTGTCATTAACTTGTCAATAATGTCAATATTTTGTTCTTGTTGACATTTTGAAACTAACTGTTATGTAATTTTCCCGCGTAAACCAGTTGTCAACTTCATATATTTGCATTTTGCACGGCCGTCGCGTCGACTGGGTTTAAGTAGAATAGTTATTTGGTTATTTTATCCAGTAGAATGCGGCCATTCTACTAAGACTTCACAATGGCTTCTAAGAACCAAACTAGTATTTCAAGACATTTTTTGTATTTCCCCGCTCTTGAGCACTTGCTGCCTAATAACAATTTCTTTTTATAAATTAACACTTTCTTTTCATAAACACAAAAACGTGCAAAAATTTACATGAGCTACATACCAAACAAGAAGATGGTAATTTAATTTTTGTTGTTGCCATTGGATTTATCTTTATTTCACTCCGGAATAAAAATATGTACTTTATTTCTGATCCTCCTACAAGGTACCGACGCCTACGAAACGACTCTCCTGTACTCTCACCCAGGCGTTCGAAGCCCCCCTCCTGTTACTTCTTCAATTAAACTAATATAGCAATGGGTTATTAGGGTACCCACTTACCACTATATTACAAATAATATACGGCGCGAAGGATTCACGCGGTTCTTGAAGGACGGGACGGAATTAATGTCTCGTCGACAATTCAAGAATTTCGACCTCATATTTAAAAGAGGGTGGTGGGGCTTAAGATTGGAACAGAAACGACTTACCGAAACGGGAAACGGGGGATATTAAGGGTTAATTAAATTAAAATCATTTAATTCATATTGAAAATTCAATCCTTTATTACTTATTACAAAAAACCACGTTCGCCATGGGTAGTTAGAGAAGTCATAAAGGCTTTCGTATACTATAGTTGAGAGTTCACATTGAATAATGTAGCACGTGAGCTCATCGTGAGTTGATCTACAGGAACAAAAATAAATTTTGTCTACACAAATCAGGTTAATTGGAGAAAATGCTTCCTGAAGTTTAAAATGAATACCGTCAAAATATCTTATTGACAAAAATGTCAACAAGAAAAACTTTACATTATATTTTAGTAATTTCAAGTGTTTTGTATCTGAGATCGATTCTTGAATATGTGCACGTGATGACTCGCAATTTTATGCATTATTGTATCCGGTCGTAGTAAATTACAGGATAGCGCGCGATGATAAGATTTAATCAAAGATTCGTCCGTCTCTTCTGGATAAAGATACTCATTTACTTCATAACAAAGTAGTTGTTCCGGGCAATCTAACGCCCGGAGACATCCAGCATATTCCGACCATATCAATTTCCTCCATTTAACATTATGCTTTTGAGCTAAAGGCACCAATACACATGCAGAAAACACGTCATCTCCATAGCTGACCGCTTGGAATTGTTCTAGAAACTGTGTGTAGAAATCTTGAAAGTTGTTCAAGCCCGTTAATTGTTTATCGAAATTGAAGGCTGATTTCTTTTTGAAAAGGACATTGGTGCATTTCTGCAGTAACATTCTAATTTTTGGTTGCAAGAATAACGAGTTGTCACATAAAAACACGCACATGATTCGACAAAATCTATCTGTTACATCAATATCATTGACTAAATCAGAAAAACAGAGTTCGTTAAACAATATCCATTCTAAGCTACATGTTATTATAAATTCCTTTTCGGTCGCTATTTGCGCTGACATTTTCTGGGCATGATCTCCGGAAACATGGGGAATCGACTCCGCCTCCTGATTTTTACTGTATAACATCAAAATTGGCAAATAAATCCAGTCTCTTGGTAAAATTGGCTCCATCCATTTTCTTAACACAACATTAGCACCTGTATCTTTGTAATTCAAGTTAATAACTCTACGGTAACATTGTCGTATGTCTCCTATGGCAGTTAAAGCTTTTGAGAATCCGTCTGCATCAGTCAAATTGACAAGATTTAATAACCTTTCGGCCGTGAACCAATCCTTGTTAAAAACGATACTTTCAAATAAGAAATCTAGTTCATATTTTTTATCTACCCTCAATGTGTAACACAATTTGTTAGCTACAGCATACATTACATCCTTTTTGCTTTCATCAACATTACACATAACAGATAATTTCATAACGTAAAAAACAAAATTAGTTTCCATTCTAGTGAACCAATTATCTGAAAGACTAGGAACACATTTAGATAATCTTTGCAAATAGTTCCAAACATGGTCTAAGAATATTCTAGAGATTTCTTTTTGATTCACTATTGTCAGTAATTTGAAAAGTGACATCAGCAGAGGTATGGGAGATGCAACTTTCAGTATTGGTAAAACTTTTTGAGCAGAATCTATGACAGTGCATTTTAGACTTATTAAGTTCTTAACTGAATACAAATCTTTATTTTCAATTTTTGAGAGCAAATTAGAGCAGGAACTAAGGTTGTTAATCACATTTTGAAATCCTTTAGAATAAGACAGTTGTTTCAGGGCATCACTCACGAACTTCACAGGCAATTGTTCAATTTCAATAACAGTATAACAGCAATCTAAAGCCGAGCATAAAATTCTCAGATGCGCACATGTATAATGTTCCATTTGCGATAACTGACCAAACCATTTCAATAGCCCTTCCTTCAACAACTTATAAACTTCAGTCTTGAAAGTAAGAAAATCATTTAAATTATGTTTCAGTATGTTATTTATCAGCTGCAAGACCACGGCTGCATGTGTTGCTGCCAACACAGAAGCTTCCACATTGATGTCTGTACCCTGAACGTGTTTGTATAAAGCTGTCAGTATGACTGGACACAATGAAATGGCACTATCATAGCTTAGTCCAAAATAAAGTAAATTTGATAGTATACAATATGACTCAGTCTGTATTCTTAAGCCATAACTTCTGTCAACTGCTGAACTCAGATACACAGAAATTGGTGCTAAAATATTGTATTTCATTAGTAAAATATTGCAAATTTCTTCAGTTTGTAGACTTAGAACTCTTAGTAGCTTTATAGCTGCTAAAACTGGTTTACCATTATATGCAACTTGTGGTTTGAAGACAAAATTGACACCTGTCACCGGAACAAAATTTGTTATTATAGAGTTCATGAGGTGCTCCATTTCACAGATTCTTTTGGCAGTCTCGACAGAATCTCTACCTAGTCTTGTTAATATCTGTAAGCAATACTGTACACAGTTGAAGCTTGGTTTTATTGACTCTAATATATAGTATATCCTTTGCAGTATATCTGTTCTTAATAGGGCTGCAATTATATCAATCTCTGCTAAATGAAAGTCTTTTAACTCTGCTTCTTTTGATTCTAGTTCCTCTATTTCTGATTTATCATTTTCAAAGCAAGGCTGCAGGTTTCCTTCTTCAAATCCTATCAATGCATCGAGCGATGCTTCATCTAACTTGTTGTACACTAAATTTCTCATTGCTTTCAAAGCAGGTTCAAGAATTATAACTTTATTTTCATCCATTGCAATTCTTATGATGAAAAATAACTTACTCAATGGTATTTCTATAATGTCTTTGTAAGTTCCAGCACTATGATACTGGAGGATGCCAGCAATTGTATTTAAGGCCATAACTCTCTGCTGTGTAATAGTTGACCGTGTCAACTCAATTAACTCGGTGATAGTATACCCAGGACGGTGCGGCTCTTCACCGTGGTGATATAAAGTTTTAGTCATATCAGTGTATTCCATTGTATAAGGTAGTAAATATCCTTTGAAATCAAACCTCGCTTCATAAGGCTCATCGGGCTTAATGTTTTTACTTTCATCAAGTCCTTCCATCCATTGAAGCTTGTCTTTCTCAAGCGAGTCGAAATGCAGCCAATTTTGTACTTCAGGGTGAGAAAGAACATCATTCTCCCATAATGTATCATTTTCAATTTCCTGAGTGCTCGTGTCCATTTCTACATTTTGGTTCATAGTAGCTAGCTTATTTATATCATCTCTTTCATTCAACTTTAGTGTTTGTCGAGTTGAGTTCTCATTTTGCATTCTCCGTGATTTAATAAAGTCAATCACTTTAGGATCTAAATTAGAGAATAGTTTTTGCTGCTCTTCTAATATTTCCTTTTCAGACATCTTACTTAGAATTTTTATATTTTCATTGTGGATGTCATCAGAGTTTTCTGAAGTCAATATGTAACTTCTATCTGGCAGGTTTATGGTGTTTTGTTTATTATTTGAGCATGATGGTTCATCTACATCCATTTTATCAACTATATTTTTTTTAATTTTTTTTATATTTTTCTGATATATATACTTAGTGGTCTTAGAGTCTTTATTTTGTTTTCTTACAACTGGAAATCCTTCTGGTGGCATTGGCTTATAATCAAACTCAACTACAGTATCTAAATTCTTTTCAACAATATCCCCTAATACGAATGGAAGTATTGTTGGATAGTAAACCTTGTCATCTTCGCCGTCAAGTTTCTTTTCGACTGGTTTTTCTGTATTTTTTTCATAAACATCAGTTATGACGGAGTTTCCAACTGTGTCGTTATTTTTGGAACGTTTCTCGGAATGATTCTTAAGACCTTTACTTTGTGCGTACTTTGACGGCTTACGCATTTCTTGTTCATTTGTATTTGGTCTTTTGATTGGTTCAGTTCTTAAGTTAACGACTTGTGCGGCCGGCTGCAGGTTCCGATTCTGCCTCTTCTTGCGAAGGAACTCTTCTTGCATTTTTAAAATATCTTCTTCATCTTCACCTGGTGTTGGTCGTCTCAACATTGTTAAATTACAAATAAATCATCCACTTACAGAAACAGAGTGTTTGGTTTTTTTTACCAAAATTATACACTACTAAGCAATTGTATTAACTTAAAGTTTAGTTATAATGAGGGTCAAATTTGGAGAAAATAAGCGATTATCATCAATAATACACAGTTATTTTACGCCGACTATTTCTTTGCTTTGCACAGCTGTTTCTGACAGCAGCATTATTCAGTTTTATTTATATAGAACACAGAAAAGGCGAAGGAATCGGACTATACCACTTTAGTGGCTTTTATTTGTTCCAAAAGTTCGAAGACAGTATTACATGATGAAAAGTAAATTTTCAGACAAATAAAATCATGAAAGAGCTGATGAAATTAAAGAAAATGAAAAAGAATTGAAAATACTACTCTAGACGGGACTAATTCCAATAAGACAGTCATGAGGTTGAAAGATGTCTCCACAATTTATGCCTCGAAGACATTGAAGCTTAAAGAATAACGGTATACTCATCTAAAAGACGTCCGGTATACTCGTACCAATCGATCGATTAAGATCAATTCTTCTCCCAACTAAGTCTTCAAAGTAGCTTACAGGTACTAGTGAAGGTGGTAGTAAGATTTCCGCATCTCAAGCAGTAATAGATTTAGGCTTGATGCCACACTAGGGGCCTAGGCCCTGTTTATCGCGCCGCCCTTATTGTTAGAATAAAATTTATTAATTACTAGCTGACCCGGCCGACTTCGTTGTGCCTCAATCGATAAATAAAAGACCTAAACTTTTGTATAAAATAAACTTAAAACAAACAAAAGGAATTCGTCCAACGGGGGACTCACCAAAGGAAAAACAAATTTGTTATTTTTATTTACTTCCGAGCATTTTCATATTTATCTACCTTCTCTGGACACTCTAGACTTCCACAAATAATTCAAGACCAAAATTAGCCAAATCGGTCCGAGCCGCTCTCGAGTTTTATCGAGACTAACGGACAGCAATTCATTTTTATATATATACATCAATTATGATCAAATATTTTTATTATAAATAAAATCTTTATAATTTTTTTTATAAAAAGTAATAGAATTTCTCAAGACATTATTTTCAAAGGTGATCTTTAGTTCTTTACTTTAATAGTAACTGAAATTTAAAAAAAAATTATTACCCTCAAATCATGCCGCCCGAGGACCGGGCCTCACGTGCCTAAGCGTAAATCCATCACTGACCTCAAGCCATCCCTCTGCGCAAAAAAACGAAAGGAAATCACGTTCTTAATTATGGTTTCCAACTTACACGGTATGTAAACAATTCGTAAATATCTTACCAAAATTTATAAAATTCCTGTCATTACTGTAAGGACAATTCCCCAGGTATAAAAATCACCACTCTCTCTCATAAGCATAAATCAATGTTAAGTTCAAGTTTGAAACAGAAAAACCAGTAAACAACGCAAGTTGAAACTTCAAACTTAAAAATCAAAAGGATGGTTGAACTTAGGTTAAGACGTCAATGGATTCCGGTAGCCGTTTATGACTCGCAATGAAAATAATTTTAAAAAACACACGTCACCTTCAGTTGGTATGGCTTTTTTTTATATTTCTGTCATCCGGTCTGCGAGAAGCTTTAGTAGCCCCATAAGCTACCAGCGAATAGGTAGGGGGAGAAAATCAATGATCTATCGAATAGTACATTGTCATTTGTAGGACTTTCTGGCAGAAACGCGAAGAGCGAAGTTGTGTAAATTGTTTTATTTTGACTATTTAATGTTTCTTCAGGTTTAAATGTGTATGAACGGTGGTTTATTAACTGTTTAGTATCTCTGAAAGTGCAAAAATCTGGCAAAATGAAATAAAGACGCTGGACGTAGCTTCTGGGGATCCTCCAAAAAGTCCACTGCAAAAGTTTCAGTAAATAACAACCATTTTATTGAGATTAAATTTCATTCATATCATCTCGTCTCATTTCATTTTATCTCATTTAATTTGATGCCAATTGATTAATGTTCCAAATAAATCAACTTCATTTCATTTCACTTCATATTATAATTTTTCATAAAAATAAATATAAAAGGTTAGGCTGTATATTACGATACTTTTGCCTTTCCAGTTGGAAAATAGAACCACTACTGTCATTTCCACGTGCGATCACTGACAGTTGACCAGTTGACAGTCTTTACAGCAAAATAAAGATAGCTCATAAACCTATTTGTTCTTTTTTATATCAAACTAATAATTTATTTTACCATTATAATAAAAATGGGAAATCTTAAGAAAAATTTAGAGAAACTAAAACACCCTAACAGTAGAAAAACTATGACCTTAGCTAAGAAATTGAAGAAATCCGAGAAAAAGGATCAAAGCAAACTGGGTACTCATATTAAGCAAAATTTAATCGGCGAAAAAATAATGTGGTTCAAAGAGAGAATACCAGAGGAATGCGAAGTTTTTGATAAAGAACAGACACTGAAATTAATCGAAAGCTATTTAAGTCGTTTCGATGAAGAACTAGAACAGATCGCATTAAAAAATTCAATTGGGCAAAGGAAAAACCGTCAACACGCGAGTAGGGAAGACGTTATAAATATGACGAGGAAAAAGGAACAGGACGAATTTGAGACTTGCGGTATAGAAATACCGGATTTAATGGACCCACAACAAATGAACGTGTTGAGGAATTGGAATGGTGAACTAAGATTTCTTCAGCATTTTAAGTTAAAAAGATTTACTAAGAAAAATTTGATGTAGTTTCTTTAAGGTTCTAACTCTTCTTCAGAAACACAGGTGTAAGAGATTAGAGATCCATTATTAGAGTAAAATAGTGTCAGCTACAACCTCAAACATATTATAGAGCTATATAAGCTATATTAAAAAATAAATAGAACCTTTATAGACGTTAACTAACAAACAACAAATATTGAAACAGCATTGTTATTGAACTATATATTGTTATTGTTATGCTTGAAATGTTAGATTAAATTTTATTATTTTGTTTTATTTACTGGCTTAAAATTCCAACAATCACCATGTTGGTCTTGATTTTTGACCTACTCAATAACCTACTGCTCGAACAACACTGATATGGCCTTTATGACGAAACCTTTTACAGTATTCACAGTATTTTACAGTATTTTTTAAAATTTTCATAATAATAATAATATAGCATAAGTTTCATATATTTGTTTTTATAAGTCATAATTTGGCTGAAATTATCTAAGAGGTGCTGGTTTCACATTAAAGCGTATGTGGGTATAGTGTGTATGTGTCTGTCTGGTGCGTTTTTTTATTGCATTAATGGGTGGCTCATGTTCACGGCCCACCTGAGGTTAAGTGGTTATTGGACCCCATAGACATCTACAACGTAAATGCTATTATACACCTTGAGACATGAGTTCTAAGGTCTGTGTAGTTAAAACGGCTGCCCCGCACTTCAAACCGAAATGCATTACTGCTTCATGGCAGAAATAGGCAAGGTGGTGGTACCTACTAGTGCGGACTCACAAGAGGTCTTGTCATCAGTAAAAAACTAGGATCTACTAAAAATATATATATCTAATTATGCATTAGCATTTATAAATAAGTGTACATTATATTCGTAAATAGAATTGTTTGAGTTTATTTTTGTTTGATTAATTATATTCATTTTATATGTACAAAACAACACATTTCGATGATTTACAAATAAATTTTGAATAAGGAAAAGTCTCTTAATTTGTGTAAATGCATTTATGTTATTTATTATTTCATGTGAACTGATAATTTTGTTAGTTTGTAGCCACTAGACTTACCGCATATTATGAATATTGATATCACTAAAACTTATGGACTGTTAAAAAGAAAATGTTGTATTTTATACAAATAAAAGCACAATATATCATGATTTCTATTTTTAATTAAAAATCCAGAATATTTACATCACACAGAAACAATTCGAATAACAGTCAAGTCTATTTATACAAGCTAAGAAATCGCATCTTTAGAATTATAGAGATCGAACCAAAAAAATGTGTTTTTTGGAAAATATCAAATAAAGTTTTCAAACCGTAGAGGAAGGGGCCGGAGTGAAAGAGACCGACGGATAAGTTTGTCTCTTTTTAAGCTACTTTTGGTCATTTGAATAGAATAGTCGCTGAAAAGGGTCGTTTTGAGTTGTTAGGTCTCCTTTGGAGGCGCTCGCTAATCCCGCCCCTCCTGGCTGAGCCCGTGCTCGTCCACATGTCCTGGTGAAACTGGAAAGGCCTTGGCGCCACCAGTAATCTTTCATTCATAATAAAATAAAAATAAATTAAATAAAAAAGGGTCCTTGCAAGTCAATTTTTGAAAATAAAGTCAAAATCCAAAAATTTCGAAATGGATCTCTATGTAATTCTAAAGGTGCGAAATGCAGAAACTTAAGCTATGAAAGTATACATATTTGATTCACACAATTTACAATTCATGTAGAAATTCATTTTTTAGAATACAAAAAAAATATATGATTGCAAAAAATTAATGCACTTCAAGCCCAGTATCCGTCTTGAGGCACTCACAGTGAACACAAATGTAATAGCGTGGCTTGAACTGACCTCAGAAGTCACATGTTTGAAGAAGCGAATGAATTTAATTATCATACAAAATTATCAATAATGTCCTTTGAGTTCGTTAAATAGTTAATATTAGCATTGTTCTGAATATTCTGTGCTGTCTGCATTCACTCTGTTCTGTGTGTTTAATACGAGCTTTTTAACGTTCTCGATAGCGTAAAAGTTAACTCAAATTTGTATGCCATACAAATTTGAGTTAACTCAAATTTGTATGCCATACAAATTTGAGTTAACTTTTACGCTATCGAGAACGTTAAAAAGCTCGTATTGGAGGAGTTGGAACAGCGCCCCTAGCGGCAAACTTAGACAAACGTTCCAACTCCACACGAATTAACTTTGACTACATCAGGATTTAACATTCATTGCATTGCACTGCCTTGCGTTGCAAGTGTTGTTTTTATGATCCCAAAGTTTTTATACTTACTTAAATACAATAAATTAGGACTATCAAACTTTCGATCCACGTCGTGTTGGTGCGGCCTGTACTTTAAATACCTGTCAAAGATCATAAAGGCCGCGCCAATAGAGAAACGAATCTAAAAGGGTGGCGGCAATCATGCGCTCTCAATCTAAACTATTGCTGTCTTTAGTAGCACACGGCGCGTACTGCATGCAAAAAAGATATCTGTTCTGACTTTGTTGAGTTCCAGTTTTTTCACTTTCAAGTTGTGCGACTTAGGGCCTGTGCACCAGGGTTGTTACGAATATTCGCATCCGCATCCGCAAATGCGGACTATTCGCATTATTTCAGACATCTGCATCCGCATTCACATCCGCATCAATCAATGTGGAGTTTTACGGATGCAGATTTATTTCAACAAGTAACAACATGTAAAGAAAGTGGGCGGAGCCAGAGTGGCACGTTCTTCACGTTTGTTTGGTAATTGCTAACTTCATTCGGTAACTGACGAATAGGAAGGCGCATATTGGTAACAAGATCCTACAGGTTTTGTTTGTTGTGTTTTTTCTCATTGTCAATAAATTATAGTTACAGTCAGTGTTTACGGTGTATTTCATCGTTTTTTTGCGTGTTTAATGAATATTTGATATAAATTTTAAGTGAAATGTCGCCACCAATAAAAAGAAGTATCTGGACTATGTCTTATATAATAATATACAATAGACAAAAATGATCCGGAGAAGTCGGAGTGTAAGATATGCAATAAAAGTTACTCGTGGAAGGGGCGCACTACTACTTCTTTGAAAAATCACCGGAAATAAATACACCCGGATGAGTTTTATTTATTCCAAAGTGCGAATAACGAAAAGGAACTGAAGAAAAAAATTTATGAAGCCGGCAGGAAAAAAAGTTTATCTCCAAATTAGCATGCAGATATTTACCAACTCCACCAGCCAGTGTTCCCAGCGAACAACTATTTAGTGGAGCTGGGTTAATATATAATCCACTAAGAAACAGGTTGGAAGCTGAGAAGGCTGCAATATTGCTATTTATTAGATATAATTCACCAATCTTTAAGGTTAATTATTAAACAAAGATTTTTATTATGAAACTCTAAGCTTAAAATTCTGTTATTTCATAAGTAAAACCAAAAACTTAATAATTTTGTTCAAAAAATAAGATTAAATAAATAAAAAGGTAAAATTAAATTGATTTTCAGTTATTTATTCATGGATTTTGGGATTTTAAAAGCATATATTTTATTAAATAATTATCCTTTTAAAATCGCAAAATCCGCATCCGTATCTGCATTACATCTGCATCCGCATCCAATCCGCATCCGCAGATGTGAACTTCTAATAATCCGCATCCGTATCTGCATCCGCGGATGTCTAAATTATTGCATCCGTAACAACCCTGCTGTGCACACCACGTTTTTTAAGCGCGTCGTCGACGCGCGCTTTTATCCTACAGAGCGGTTTATTGTCGTCTGTATCGATACAACCCGCGTCGACGGCGTGTTTTTATCCCACAGAATGTTTTCTTGTCGTTTGTATCGATACAAACGCGTATTTGAATTTATACAGGTGTGCAAAGGTCTACAAGCTGCGTCTGACTAGCGTGCGTATCGCGTCTGTATCGCTACGAACGCGCGTCGACGGCGCGTTTAAAAAACGTGGTGTGCACAGGCCCTTAGTGACACGCAAGTTGCATCCCAGATGAGACACCTCCCCCTCTGCCAGGGCATAAAGTAAAGTAAAGTACATTCTCATTTGTTTTTTTATATTTTTTTACAATAAACAACTTTTTTTCTTTCTATCTTTCTTTTTATTTGTTGACTCTACCATCTGTCAGTGCAGGTACATAGACGCCATTTTCGATTCGTTTCTTTATTGGCGCGGCTTATACAAATAATATTGACAATAAATAAGAGACCATGTTCCAAAATGTCCGCATTTATTTTTCTTGACGACTAAAGGTACGCGTCCAATTGTATGATTTTACATAGTGCTGCGTCCAACGCCGACATTTATGAGCAAAAAATACAAAGAAAAACATTCAATCATTTTTTGGATAGTCTGAGACCTCGCACAAGTGTCGCTCTTATTAGAGACAATAAATTTGTTAGACACCTGAAGGTACGAGGAATCTTTAACCACAAGAAATTAAGTTTTGTTTAAAAGTGTAGTTGGTTTTTAACCCGTAGTTACATTGTATTCGCGTCACGTGCTAGCGTGCCTTGATATTCTTTGTCTTTCAACATTTGAATTATTAAGTTTTCCGATCAGCGCAAGCGGACAGACTTATTCCAACCTACCCGCCTACAGCTGTTATTTTGAGGTTACCATCAAAGCAGTACGCGTTAGCAATTTAATTTGATTGTAACATATTATTATTCTGTGGTTATCTGAAATAAAACTACATAGATTTTAACGCAATCTTATCACAGAGCACATTCACACTTAAATAAGCTACGTAGTTATGCGAGAAATACTATTACTAATAATTTAAGCTAAACCTTAGTTGAATGCTAATTTTATGATACCTATAAGTAACTCTACACATACTCATAGACTATAGACACACAACAATGATATGTGTCGTACAAACAAATCACTTATTGTTGTACCTTCACAAAATCCACATGAATACGAAATCCTGATGTAATATTCAATTTATTACTTTCATCATCAGCCTATAAGACGTCTACTGGTGGACTTAATTGATATAATCTTGAAAGGTAAGTTATTGAGCGGAAACGCAAGTATCTAAATATGAATTAAATGATTTAAAAAAATCCACTGCTCCCTTCCTTAACAATCGTCGCCGTAAGATATAACCCCTCGAATATTTTTATTAAAGATTTTTTTTAAAGAATTTTCTTTTTTATAGACTAAATACAAGTAAATGATAGCCCTCGACCTGTCAAACTTAACTCTGGTCCTTACCGACAGCAGAGGTCAACAATAAACTACCACAGTACTTCTTGATATTAGTTTGGCGTCTTTTATGTACTTCGAAAGCAGAGGGGCGAGCACGAATGACTATCGAAAAAGTGTTCATATCGATATCGATTTGAATTTGAATTTTGTAGTGTAGGATTTAAACAGCGCCCCTACCGGACGTAAAAAGCATTAATTTCAGCAGCATGAATTTACTTCATTTCGTTCCGCAATCGAAGCGTCACGTTCTCGAAACTCGAAACTCATAATCGAGAGCACGAAAATTGTTTTGACATGTGGTAACATAAATCTCGGCTGTCCGGCTATCGAGTACTACCGTCTAACGTAACGATCCGTTTTCGTATCGAGGACTCGATACATTTACATTACGGATTCGACATTTTCGTGCTTGACGAACAGATGAGCTTACGTTCCAGCTGATCGGTATGTGGTTGACAGTTTTAGAAAATCGTTGGACAAAGACCGAACACCGAAGGGATAATTAATTTCTTTCATCTTAGCAAAGATCTACGCTTTTGAACAGTAATGCTGGAGGCGAGTTCCATGGACTGCACGCCGGACCAGCCTATCCATTCTGAAGGAGCTCGGTATTACCACAATTGGTGTACCTGCTCGTAGAGACCCGATAACAGAAGCTCACCTACTCGCTTGTCTGATCTACAAAAGACGCTCACCAGTCTGCCAATAACCGAGGCTATAAATACCGCCGAGGACAGGATGAAGTCAGGAAGTATAGCGCATCAAGTGGTCAACATTTCAAACTAGGCACGACCTTCAGCAATAAAGAGACCAACTCAGAAAAAGAAGAAGCTAACGACGAATATAGCTTTTTTTTAATAGAGTTGAAAACTGCTACAATGGTATGTGATACCTTTGGAAAAGTGATGGTGGAGTCACTTCACTCACAAACATCTTAATCAAAGATTATCGATTGAATCGGATCTCATCTGCATTTATAAAGTCTAATCAAAACGGCTGATACTTGGGGGCTTCGCTTAGAGGTGCGAGCAATAGATAGTAGTATATGAGACCGAACCTCTACTTTGCAAACATAAAAAATATCTTTACACGCGCAGACCTCAAGTACTTATCGCGAGCATTTATGTAGACGTCAATTCAGCTTTTTTAAGCGATGGTTCAAATCACGCTGGTTCAATAAATTTTACAATCCTAAATCACACTCAGCAAAATGTTAATGGCAAATCAACCAGGATCTCCTGTATCATTAAATTAAATATTAAAAAAATTCCTACAAATCAAAATTATGTCTAAGAATATTAAATCTAATTTTTGATGAACACAAACTAATACATATTTAATTCGCTTAAAATAAATAAGACGACTGATTAAGTTACATTCAATTTAATAATAATTTTAAAATGTCCGTCTTAAGTGAAAATAAAATTTTATTTCAAAATTTTTCGAATTTCCCATGTCGCGTGCACAAATCGATGATGATTCGGTGGCAGTATCTCGCAAAAGCTCAAAAGCGCTTGTGCCTTCACGGTTTTACTACGACAATAGTTTCACGAGCTCACTAAGTTTCTCGCCGGTTCTTGACAGTGGGTCGCGTTTCCGATCCGGTGGTAGATTCTGCAAAGCACTGCTCTTGCTAGGGTCAGTGTTAGCAACGCCTCCTGGTTGAGCCCCGAGAGCTTACCTACACTTCGGGGTTACGCTGACATAGACCGTATTAAACGGTCTCAGTCACTTCTCTGAATTTCTTTATAACTTCCAATACAACAGATAAAAATTGTGCATATTCTTCGATCTTCGTGAACCGCATACATAACAAAACTAGGATCTCGCATTTTTACTGTCATTAAACTACATATTTCCAACATTTCGTTTTCCTTAGTTTTCGTACGGATGATGATTCGTGCGCGAGAGAAGTGAGTAATGAAAAAAAAAAACACGTCCTAACTATAATAGGGAATATGCTCGACGTTTAATTAGGATCACCTGGGTTTTTCTCATAACATGAGGTTAAGAACCCAAGTTAAACTAACTGCCAGTGCTCAGGAAATTTTATCACGGAAATATCAAGAAATAAAGAATTAAGACGGTAGTTTTAACACAATACTCAAACGCCGACGAATAACATTTATGTAGTCTGTGAACACGAAAACTGTAAAATATTCGAAATGTCAAATGTCAAAAAGAATACAGTGACATTAATAAAGGCGGGATCAAATTGTAGAAATAGTTTTAATTATGAAAACAACCTTTTTTAACTGTACATTGAATTGTTTAATTTAAATGTTTGCTCATCATTAATGCTATATTATGACTTACATATGCGAAATTGTAAATTGTAACATAATTTCAAGGCTAAAATTTTTCATTACATAATTACGGTGCAATAGGATTACAATTCATAACTAGGCACTTCATTCTATTATAAATAGCTTTTTTTTCATATAATTCTACTATATATCACATAGAATAGGTACTTATAGGTTTCCTTTAGTTTTTAAGTTACTAAAATTGTCTATTTTAGTCTAACGGTCTTATTCATGCGTTTTTGAAGCCCGTTATTTTGTTTCCTTACCATAAAGATCGTTCGATAAATTTATTTATTCACAATGAGGTCGACAATTCACGCCTTTATAGCACGCGATGTTATCGTTTAAATATGGACAACGATATAATATTGACGATTTCTGAAATTTGTGCTGGTTTTTTTTACCAACCGTAGATCGCTTCATTCTCATCCCGCACAAGACTCATATAAATAGTACACTTCGTGTGACATCACCACCAACGGTTGAAGCGGTTTTAAATAAACACAGAAAGCATTGTTTTTTTTCCTAGTCTGATGAGGTAAAATTCAACTACAATTGTCTCGTATGAGTGAGCGAATATCCGGGTTTTGCTTTCCAAAAGGTTTGTAGCCCTTGCTGAAATTATCTATCATTATTAAAAACAAAAAATGTCAAGGGTTGAAATACACTGAAAATCAATAAAAATGACAATCAGCTGATCTAAAAGGGTCGTTTTTTTTAAATTATAATAGGGTTTTAGTTGTGTAATTAAAGAGATAAAGTAAAAGTAATAAGTTTACTTTAACTNTATCCGGGTTTTGCTTTCCAAAAGGTTTGTAGCCCTTGCTGAAATTATCTATCATTATTAAAAACAAAAAATGTCAAGGGTTGAAATACACTGAAAATCAATAAAAATGACAATCAGCTGATCTAAAAGGGTCGTTTTTTTTAAATTATAATAGGGTTTTAGTTGTGTAATTAAAGAGATAAAGTAAAAGTAATAAGTTTACTTTAACTTTATCAGATTATTAATGAGCGTTTTAGCTCTACCGCATGATTATGAATGACTGTTTGACGGTCCCCTTATAAAGGGCTTATAAAACTTGGTTAACTAATTGTGAGTAAAACCATGGTACAGGTATATCGAACGTTTGGTGGTTGAAATGACGTTGTAACTAATATCGGTTTATATCTTCGGTAAGCCTTTTACTATGAATAAGACCGATAGTAATTAGGAAAATAAAAAATAATGCGGGATTGACGATTCCCAATTAAATATTAAATTGTAAATTCATGTTAATTTTCATAGAATTTCTAAGAGAACACGGTAATAAGTTGTAAGTACATTAGCTTTGTAGATCGGCATCGTTTACATAATATAAGCTAGAACTACATTAGCTAGCTAAATCAACGTTTCAGTTTGACAAATAGAAATAGACACGCGCTTGTGTGAACTTGGATTAAATGAAAATCCCTCATAGACGTCTCTATGGAAGAGTAACAAACTGATTTTGATATATTGATTATTACATACTTTCTGGTGTCAAATGAACATATGTTACCCACGTATGTACTACATATGTTTATGTATTGTAATTCCAGAAGAACAAACAAGTTAATGTGTAAACAAACCTCTCTCTTTCTCAACAAGACTCAATATATCATTTTTCTGCCCACTACATTACACAAAAAAATGTCATTTAAAATATTTGGGCTCTGGCGCGTTCCATTCTACGTATGCGAGTTGTACATGTCAAACGTAATTCTAGGTTATATTTAATAAAATAATAATCGGTTCTACAGTATTGCACAACGTTCTATGGAACCATTTTTAGAAGGCTTTGAAATTACCTTGACTTGTATGTATATATATGGAAAGGAAATTAATAACATAATTTTTACAATCTTCAAATCGTTCATTGTAACTTGAAAATAGCACATGTATGAAGGATCAATGACAATACAATAATTAATTTTGTTACTTTGACCAGGGTCACAAGGATAAATGAAATATAATTTTAACCCTTTGCGGTCCTAAGACTAATGTAATGTAAGACTATACATATGTCCAATATGTGTGAACATTGGAGCTCTAAGGATTAACAAGAACATCCAACCCATACATACCACTTCGGTAGATGTTATTCCTGTTTACCATTGCTACATAGAAGATTGTTTCATAGAATAAATTATTGTTTAAAAAACAAAATTTTTAATAGAAAGTCAAATTAGTAAGGAAATTAACAAATAATTTAATGTATTTTAAATATAGCGTGGGAAACCTAAAGGAAATATCAACATTATAAAATGATTTTTGAAATAATTAAATCACCTAACTTCATGTTTCTGAATTTGATATCTTTATCGCTATGTGCTTTTGCACATCTATGCTACACAGTCAAATTTACTTGCATAAATTTTTAATGAAGTACAAATAAGCATTGTGTATTTTTTATTGATAAATAAATTATTGATTATGGATTAAAAAATAAAGTTAATTAAGTGCATTTTTATATTGTAAAAAATTCTTCTGAATATGATATAATAAAATAAATCTGTTTTAAAAGATATTAAATGTTGCAGAAATGCTTTAGTTGAAAAAGGAACAGGCGAGGGCAGCGACGCAATTTTGTCCCTTACATTGACAATGTCCATTCACAGTGTCAATTTCGTACCACGCTTGCCTTTGAAGTCAATAAAAAAAGTACTATTCAAACCTATAACAGTGTTTTTTTTAGTACGGTTGTTCAACCACACCAACATCTTTTAAAAGAATTTATATTATTGTTTTTGACTTACATTTTAAAGCATTTAGAGAGCTTCAACATAACACAGTCATCCTTCGCAGATTCGCAACTCCTCATCGAGACATTAAAATCATTTTACACACACTTAAATAATGATCGTAAAATAAATCAAGTGAATAATGGAAGGTGGTAGAAATCGTAACCTCTCTGTCCTCTGGCAGCTAGCCAGATATAGACTACATGATATGCACCGGGCACAAAGCAGATCATTCCTGCTACGAAGAACACTGCACCTTGGAGACCGTTTTCGGGTTCAGCAACCGCAAATGCTCCCATACCAAGTAGACCAACTCCAACTATCAGCAAAATGACAGCTGCACATACCGTTTTCCAATTCTCTCTCACTTTGGGATGGTTCCAGCAGAACATTGACTGTGTGGCCTCAACATATTCATGTATGAGGGAGTCCGAATCCCTTGAGGTTGTATCTTCTGAGCATTTATAGGTTTTGCTACTGGAAAAATAATTTATAGTTTGTGAATTTAGTTCTATTTTTATTATTAAAATAGGTTTAAATAATTAGAAGATTATAATAAACGTGTCTACAAATTGCTAAACTATTTATTCCTGTAGACACCATAGCATAGCATAGCATAGTAAGGGGCTACCATAGCTATGAAAGTGACCATGTGAAGGCTACCACCACCATTAAGACATGAGGTTGAGGTCTCTTTTATTCTACTGTTTTATTTCATTGCTCAGATTAGTGAATGATTACATGGTCCACATAATATTAAGTGGTTATTGTGGCCTATGGACATAATATAAATACCCTCAATCACCTTAAAAGTAATGGTAGTGTACTTTATGATTTGTGTATTGAATTTTTGTTACTGGACTTCCCAGTAGTCCATATGCTTTTCGTTTTTCTAAAGATCTTTTTATGATTACAGCATTATATTAGGTATTCCCATGAGATCAACAACATTCTTAATTGAATGCGATCCATTTCCTTTTAAATAATAAACAAAATCTGACTGGCAATTTCCCTTTGGAATCCAGATTGCTTATAAGTCTTATCCATAAGTTTTATGCACGTGAATGGGCTAATCCACAGTTGTACAAATACCAATAGATTTTACATTAGAAAACAGAACAATTGAAAGCTAAATGATTTATCTTATTCAATTAAGAGATACAAATTTATTGAACAAAATAAATAAGTGATTTTAAGGATTTTTGCATCCTCATTATCCCACCATTATAACATTAGTAACATTAAATAATGTTATCTTGCATTTACACTTATCAGTGCAATAAAAGAATCATACAATCTTAAACTAGATGGTTATGACAAAAAACAAACAAAAATTAATTACGTTGGTACAAATTACGCTGGATTATAATTATTAACTGTGTATTATGCGAGTTCTTTGTACTCTAAAAACTAGGGCCAATTAGCGAATGGAATGTAGAACAAAGCTAGTGGTAACAAAGTCTAATAGTTCAAAATCCTTTGCCCTACTAAGGAAATGACTCAAAAGGTCAAGTACATATTCGAGTTCATTAAATAAAGAACTACCTTGGAGGCTATATATATTACATATTTAGGGTTAAAATATAAGTCAACGAACAGGAGAATGAATAAAACTATCTCACCTGGATATATAATCACCACCATTCTTGAATTTGTTTTGCAAAGGTGATCGGTCTCCAGTTGCGCCGTACACTTTTATAGCTTCGTCGGTTTCTTCTTCGAACGCATCGTCGATCGAAAAACGCTTCTCACTGTTTCCGAACGGTTTAGTCATTTTTGTTTATCACTTATTATTCAAGATATGACAAATAATCATCACAAATTATTTGCACGAGAGCAAGTGGCACAAACACAGTTTAACACAGCTGTCAATTCATCATGTCAACATGCGCCATATTGATTTTTCGCCAACGTTTATTTTTTATGGGTGCCTAATCTATGTAGATGACAGGTGAGGAAATCTGAAACCAGAAAAATTGGTAGGTATCTACTAGGTACCTATTTTATTATCTATGGATTTAGTGTTTCTCGTTTCTTCTAGAATCACGTAGAAGTAGAATCAAATTAATATATTAAATTGAAATTTTAAAAAATCTTTACGCCCACTCTCCTCCCTGAGTTGCATGCCTGATGTCTGAGGGTCGTGACCATCTCCTCCCATTATCCTTCTTTGGATGATGTTTAGCCATCTTCCTCTGTTTTCGGCAGTGTGTATGGCATCGTAGACAGTGGTATTTGTGTTGCGGATTTGGTATTTAGCACACCTTATGTATTACAAAATAATATGGTTAATGTATAGTTTTAGACATAACATACCTAGTTTTTTTATCTCTACCAGCGGTGACGTTCACTACTACAAGTTAAATTTTGTATTAAGAATGCTTTGAACTAATCACTTTCAAAGAGCACTGCTGATAATTGGATTCGAATTTGTGATTTGTTTTTCGTCTGGAAGCCATTGACATTTATGTAAATCATGGAGAAAAATCCACTCTGAAAGACCGCTTTTTACAACATAAATAATAAATTTTTGTAAAGACAAAGTTACATTATTAACAAAAACTCGGGTCACTGTTTAATTTGAAAATTTAGAGAAATCCACAACAAAATGAAATTTTACGTTTTTTGAAACAACAGCGGTCACTGTCAAGAACTGTCAAAATCCAAAATTAAGGATTCAAAATGTCAAAAGCACATGTTGATGTTTTCTCTGCTCGTGCTCTGAGTTAATATATCTATTATCGGTGTTATACACAAATTATAAAGCGCTATTTCTGTATGTGATTGAGAGGTTAATTTAATTTAAAATCCTTAAAATGGCCAACAAAGATTGGTCTAAAGTTCAGCCCCCATTATCCAAGCCAGTGTTGAACTGTATTAATAAACATGGTTTTAAAACTATGACTCCGATTCAAGCAGCCGTAATTCCTCTATTATTGTCCTGCAAAGATGTTGTGGCTGAAGCGGTGACTGGATCGGGAAAAACTCTCGCATTTGTCGTCCCGATGCTGGAAATGCTCTTGAAAAAGAAGAAAGATGGACCTTTGAGAAAGGATTTCGTTTACGTAGTCATAATTTCGCCTACAAGGGAACTGGCTACGCAAATATTTAAAGTGAGATCTTATGACTGTCTTAATATTAAAATGAAATAGGAATGAAATAAAGTAACTTTAATGAGACACATAATTAACATGAATTATATTTCTATTTATTTGTTTACATTTTGATTAGAATTATTAAGAATTAATTTACTCAAATAACCCATGCAAAGTTTTTAAATTGGAAAATATTTCATATAAATAGGAAAAATAAAACTAGGTAGGATTTTTAAACTAATTTCACAATTGGACTTGCGGTATCATTTTGGAAATGGGGTTTCTAGCCCAAAATAGTTTGGCAATCCCTGCTCTATGCCTGTACAAGAGTGATTATCTATCTATATGGCTTGTCAGATTGTGCAATTGCTTCACAGCTGAATTTTTTTGTGATTGAAAGGGAAAATATTACAGTTTCATTTGCTTGGAATCCAGTAATTGCTTAACAGAGCGTTATATGGTTGTCCTAATTTGGCTGAATTTAACTGTTCCTCTCAGGTAATAGAAGATTTCTTACAAGAACCAGAATTAGCCAGTACTACCTTGGCCCTACTAGTCGGTGGTCGTCCCATAGAGGTTGATGCGANCTGAATTTTTTTGTGATTGAAAGGGAAAATATTACAGTTTCATTTGCTTGGAATCCAGTAATTGCTTAACAGAGCGTTATATGGTTGTCCTAATTTGGCTGAATTTAACTGTTCCTCTCAGGTAATAGAAGATTTCTTACAAGAACCAGAATTAGCCAGTACTACCTTGGCCCTACTAGTCGGTGGTCGTCCCATAGAGGTTGATGCGATTGCCTTACAGAAAGGTGCTGATATAGCTGTATGCACTCCGGGTAGACTAGAAGACTTGTTGTCTGAAAGGAAACAGTTGAATCTTGCCGGAAGACTGAAAGAGTTGGTATGTACTATTAATATTTCTTTTTAGTAACATTAATTTGCAAGTTTTGAAGAATCACCTGGGTGATCTAACAACTTTTTTGTTGGTATCCTGGCTATAGGTACGCTCTCTCGGAGCGTGGTGCAAGAGTGACGATCAAAAGTTGTGTCTGTAGTCGAGAACTTTCTGGGGTGAACCCTCAAAATGGGTTCTTTTTTATTTTTATTTTTTATTGCTTAGATGGGTAGACGAGCTCACAGCCCACCTGATGTTAAGTGGTTACTGGAGCCCATGGACATCTACAATGTAAATGCGCCACCCACCTTGAGGTTCTAAGATCTCAGTATAGTTACAACGGCTGCCCCACCTTTCAAACCGAAATGCATTACTGTTTCATGGCAGAAATAGACAGGGCGGTGGTACCTGCCTGTGCGGACTCACAAGAGGTCCTACCACCAGTAAAAAGCATTCAGCATTCCAGGTGGCAGCATTCATGTTATTATGTAATTCATATAGGCCACAAGCTTGCTCACAGGTCTACAAAATAAACTGCATTGTAATATAAGTGTAAGTGCATAAATACATTAATCTTTTGTCCTCTTAGGAACTCTTAGTTCTGGATGAAGCCGACCGTCTACTAGACCTTGGCTTCTCGGGCACACTCACAACCATCCTACAATATTTACCGAGACAACGTCGTACTGGTCTCTTTTCGGCAACACAAACCAAAGAACTGCAGGACTTAGTAAGAGCTGGTCTTCGGAATCCTGTTGTTGTGAGCGTGAAAGAAAAGTCAACAATCAGTACTCCCTTGCTGTTGGAGACTTATTACGTAATTGTTGAAGCTCAGGATAAATTTTTGTTCCTTTTGAACTTTATCAGAAATAGAAAGATAGCTAAAGGTCAGTTTTTTTTTATAATTCAATTTTGATATTGTTACGTTTGAATAACTTGAATGGACGTTGATATTTGTTACTAAAAACTATTGTGTTATAAAAATCAAACCCGGTTCCTTTGTCTAAGTGCTTATTTATAACGGTAGCTATGTCACTTTAATCTTGTACAGATATTTAGCATTAAGTAACTGCCGTTGTAATTGCGGACATTGTTGACGTAAATGTCTTTCAGGTTTATTTTTTCTACCAACGTGTGCATGTGTGGATTACTGGACGGATGTGCTACCCGTATTCCTGCCTGACATTAAAATATTTGGATTACACGGCAAAATGAAGCAGAAACGACACAAAATATTAGAGAAGTTCCGGCAGGCTGATAACACTATCTTGCTTTGTACAGATTTGTTGGCCAGGTATGAGATTGCTTACTAAAATTATCAGTTACAATTAATTACACTACCATCTGTTGTAAGTTTCTGGTTATACTGTACATATTGTGTTTGTACATTATTCATAAGAACAGTGATGTGTGCAATGAAACTTACTTCATATTAATGCCTATGCTGAGGGTCCCGATGATAAACCTGATGGGCTCTGATGAACCCATGAGGGTCGGTGTTATCCTGCTGCATCCTGACTGTATAGGACATGTACTTAAAATGCCTATTCTGCGTGCGAGTTAGGCACTTCACCGGCAGTAATCACGTTATGATATCTATGGTACGACGAGGGGGTAACTCATTTCAGGATTAATATAAAAAAAAAATTAAACACCAGGTTAATGTTTCAATTTAAATTAAAATTCGGTTGGTAAACGTTGAAGGGGCCTGGACATTCCAGAGGTGGAGTGGGTGTTGCAGTGGGAGCCCCCATGTCAACCATCCGCTCTCGTGCACCGCGCGGGCAGAGCAGCGAGGGGTGGAGCCCGGGGCTGTGCCCTGCTGCCGCTGCTTACCACAGAGGACGCTTACGTGCCCTTCATAAAGACTAATCAAATGGTCGAGTTGAAAGACTGGAGGGAATCTGACGATCAAATCAAAATTACAGACAAGTTAAGGGAAAGGGTAAACGTTGATTTTTTACTTTTGAATCTACAGAATGCTGAACGAGCTCACAGCTTATCTAGTGCATAATTGGGATTCAGATCCTTGAGCAGATGAGTTCAGGCTCATAGACACTAAATGTGAATATCCCGATCCACTCGAGATATATGGCCGAAGTCTCAATTAAATTCTACAACGCATGCCGACTTCACGACAGAAACAGACAAGATGGTTCCTACCCGCACGAGCCAACTACCAGTGAATACGCAAATTTTAATTAAACAACAAAAAAGTGCTAAAATGCTAAATTAGATCATCCAACATCCTAATGAAACAATTATATATTTAAATAACGTTAAAGTGATGTAAAGTTTATCCGACGTGCGGGGTCATCGGCCTGGCACGAGCGCGGGCCCCAAGCCGGTCACCGGCTTTGTACGCTTTACATTGCTGAGGTTGCACTGTGATATTTTTTTTCCTACCTAAGCTGATAGCCTTGAGAGGCTATATCAGCGGAACCTTAACTAGTAGGTGAGCTCACGGGGCTCAAACCTGACGACGTTGCTAACACGAACTCTAGCAAGAGCCGCGCTTCGTAGAATCTACCACCGGATCGGAAACGCGACCCACTGAGAAGATCCGGCGAGAAACTCAGTGGGCTGTGTCTGAGGGTTAATTTACTCGTCGAGCCCTTCGTCGCAAGCGGCGGGTTCGACGAGAACGATGACCGGGCACTGTGAGCTCGCGGTCCGCCTTATACAAGTGATACTAATCACCAGCCACCGCCTATCGTGAAGCGAGAGCTCCAAGTCAGGGCTTATTGAAGTTATCGTGACTTCAAGGATAACTCGTGTCCAATACACGATGAAGGCATAACTTGTTATCCTAAGAATCTAGAAACTATTCTTAACTGTTACTACTGACTACTTAACTAAGACTTCAAGTCGAAATGATGCTCCTCCCCAGGTGCTCGGCATCCTCCACGAGCAGCAGAAGAAAGACCGCGCCATTTTCGACAAAGGGCAGCGAGCGTTCGTCTCCCACATGCGAGCCTACACCAAACACGAATGCAACCTGCTGCTCCAGTTCAAGGAGCTTCCTCTGGGGCACATCGCCACCAGCTACGGGCTCCTCAAACTGCCTCTCATGCCAGAGATCAAACCGGAGCACAAGCAGCAGTTTGTCGGCCCTAAAGAGGAGNGTATGGTATGGTATGGTATGGTATGGTATGGTATGGTATGGTATGGTATGGTATGGTATGGTATGGTATGGTATGGTATGGTATATTCCCTACCATATACTACTACAATTTCTCCGCACACAATGCACTAAAACTCTATCAATGGATCGAAACTCATTTACATACGAGTAAATAGGCTGTTAAGATAAGATAGGACGTAGCCCCCCTCTATTGGATACAAAATAAATGTAATTTAGCACTGAAATGAAGAAATGTCGCGGTATCTCAAAGAAAGCGAGCGATTACATAGCTCCATTGCACGTAATTAATGGTAAACATAATTAAAAACGAATTTTCACGATTCGTCGCCTAACTTTTTATCAGCCCACAGACGTCCACTGCATTTGCCAAACATTTGCATATTATTGTAATTGTAGGATTTATCCATTCTTAAGTGGTTATTTAGACTTTATCATACAACGAAATAAATAAGTTGTAAAAATACATAGTTTTTTTGCCGCTAAATGCAGACGAGCTTACCGTCCACCTGATGATGAGCGGTTATCGTCGCTCATGGATGTCAGCAATAGCAGGAACAGAGCCTAGCCAGTGCCTACTATGAACTATTCTCCAATCCAGTAATTATAAATTGCAACTTTTTTTTCAAATAACTTTCTCCTCCCGACAACCCGTTGATAATAATAAACAAAATATATTATTATAATACGTAACACAACGTATAAATACGTACTCAACAAATGTTCACGATTCTCTACCCGATGTTATGCAGACGAAGTAAAATGTCCCTTAGAAATAAAGTGACACTCTACAAAACTTGCATACGCCCCGTCATGACCTATGCAAGTGTGGTGTTCGCTCACGCGGCCCGTACTCACCTAAAATCATTTCAAATTATCCAATCCCGTTTTTGTAGGATAGCCGTCGGAGCCCCGTGGTTCGTCAGGAACGTCGACCTGGACTTAGAGTCCACCAGTAAGTATATGCAGTCGGTCGATGCGCCACTTCGATAAAGCGACACGACACGAGAACCATCTCATCGTGGCCGCCGGTAACTACATTCCCGATCCTGCGGAAAGAATGGAAAGCAGTCGACGTCGCCCAAAACACGTCATCTCGGATCCCCCCGATCCACTGACGGTGCTTCTAGGTACTTCAAGCACCGGTCACCGCTCTCGTCGAACCAGTCGCTTGCGACGAAGGGCTCGACGAGTAAATTACTCTCAGACACAACCCACTGAGTTTCTCGCCGGATCTTCTCAGTGGGTCGCGTTTCCGATCCGGTGGTAGATTCTGCGAAGCACGGCTCTTGCTAGAGTTCGTGTTAGCAACGTCGTCAGGTTGAGCCCCGTGAGCTCACCTACTAGTTACGGTTACGCTGGAATAGCCTCACAAGGCTACCAGCTTAGGTAGGAAAAAAAAAAAAATCACGATTGACTTCCACGGTGAAGGAATAACATCATGTAATAAAAATCAAACCCGCAAAATTATAATTTGCGTGATTACTGGTGGTAGAACCTCTTGTGAGACCGCGCGAGTAGGTACCACCGCCCTGCCTATTTCTGCCGTGAAGCAGTAATGCGTTTCGATCTGAAGGGTAGGGCAGCCATCGTAACTATACTGAGATCTTAGAACTTATATCTCAAGGTGGATGGCGCATTTACGTTATAGATTTCTATGGGCTCCAGTAACTACTTAACACCAGGTGGGCTGTGAGCTCGTCCAGCCATCTAAGCAATAAATAAATAAAAGTATTGTAATGAAAATTAAATCAGAAAAAATTACGTTACTGCTACTGGTATGGCTTATTATAAACCCAAACGGATAAGTACTACGGTCTCGCCTATCTCTATCGCGTAACAGCCTTGTATTTCAGTTGTGAAAGCCACTCTATAGCCCAATTGAAACCATTATTGAGTTCTGTCTTATGTATGACGTGAAGTTAATATTCTGATTTCTATGGGTTCCTTACACTTAGCACAAGGTGGGTAGCTCGTCCACCCATCAAAGTAATAAAGAGAAAAGAAAAGGATTATGTAACAATTCTACCTAGTACATAGTTGATTTTCAGTAGCAGGAACTGCTTGTGCTTATGAACTACAGTGACCATTTATCCAGTAATGAAACTAAAATAATTGTAAATAGACATACTTCAATAAAAACCGTCTTCAAATAGAAAAAAAAGATATAAAAAAAAGATATTCCAAAACAAATTAATATACACTAAAAACAATAATCATCGAAATCGGTTGGCGTGGTATTGAGTTATGACATCTATTTGTCGCGCACGTACTTAATGCAAATTAAAGACTTATATGGTTTTCTCATGGATACCATTATCAGAACTGGACTAAATTGAAATGGAACCACTCGGGAAGCGTCAGCTTTCTAATAAAAAAGAATAATCAAAATCGATTCACCCAGTCAAAAGTTATGGTAACAAACATAAAAAATACAGTCGAATTGAGAACCTCCTCCTTTTTTGAAGTCAGTTAACAAAAACTATGTTAAAAACCTGCAGCGATGCTGTTAAAATATGTTACAAATATCTCTCGTAGTGTACAGCCACAACTTTATAATTGGAGCGGACAACCCGGTTAAGGACAATAAAACCTTGTAAGTTCTGAAAACATACCAAGAGTCGTGTTTTCTTAAAATTAAACAATAGAATTGCAGCAGCTGTAATGCAATATCATAACTCTGCGAACTTGTACTGGGTAAAAGTTTAAGATGTCATAACTATTTTTTTCTTACCTATGTATTCGCTGGTAGCCTAAGTGGTTATTTCAAATACGCCCTGACTGGTAGGTGAGCTTACATGTTCAACCTGAGAGAATTTTCTAACACTAGCCCTAGAAAGAGCAGTGCTTCGCCGAATCTACCCCCGGACCGGTATCGTGACCCACTCAGAAGATCCGGCGAGACACTCAGTGGGCCGGTATGTGGATTAATTTACTCGTCGAACCCGCGAGATAGGTGACTGGTGTTTGAGGTATCTAAAAGCACCGATAGTTACTCCCCGATTCCTGATTACGCAGGAGCCAGTCACCGTCGACGCCCTAGACACGTCCTTACGGATTCATCAGATCCAATCTTGCATTAGACGCCTTTAGCTCTAACACTAGGAGCAGACTCAGGGACTTCGGTAACCGTACTCGTCGAACTCGGCAAGGAATTCGACATGCAACCTAACCTAAGCATCAGCCCGTTGAGTTTCTCGCCGGATCTTCTCTGCGGGTCGCGATTCCGATCCGGTAGTAGATTCATTCGCGAAGCAGTTACTCTTGAGTAGTTAGGTCTTCTTCTGAGGTGCTCGGATAGCTGTTAGCAAATCTCACCCCTCCTGGCTGAGCCCTTGCTCGTCTTTGTGAAATAGGAATGGCCTCTGGGCCACCAGTAAACCTTCAATCATAAAAAAAGCACCGATAGTATTACTTATAGACTCTTTTATTTTTATTGCTTAGATGGGTGGACGAGCTCACAGTCCACGTGGTGTTAAGTGGTTACTGGAGCCCATAGACATCTACAACGCAAATGCGCCACCCACCTTGAGATATAAGTTCTAAGGTCTCAAGTACCTATAGTTACACGGCTGCCCCACCCTTCAAACCGAAACGCATTACTGCTTCACGGCAGAAATAGGCAGGGTGGTGGTGCCTACCCGCGCGGACTCACAAGATATCCTGCCACCAGTATTTAGGGCAACGGTGATTGTTTACCATTCTGTATGCAGTATCGGGTATTTAGTTACCGGCGGCCACGACATGAGGGTTTTCGTGTCGCGCTGCTTTCTCAAAACGCCGCACTGATGCTGACTGATACTTACTGATGGAGTTCAACTCCAGGTCATCGTGAAGATCCAGGGTACTCTGCCGGTTTTTTTTTATGGCTTAGATGGGTGGACGAACTCACAGCCCACCTGGTGTTAAGTGGTTACTGGAGCCCATAGAAAACAACAAGGCAAATGCGCCACCCACCTTGAGATATAAATTTTAAGGTCTCAAGTATAGTTACAACGGCTGCCCCACCCTTCAAACCGAAGCGCATAGTGCTTCACAGTAGAAATAGGTAGGGTAGTGGTGACCACCCGCGCAGACTTTTTTTTTTTTTTTTTTTTTTTTTTATGATTGAAAGTTTNAGAAGAAAGACCGCGCCATTTTCGACAAAGGGCAGCGAGCGTTCGTCTCCCACATGCGAGCCTACACCAAACACGAATGCAACCTGCTGCTCCAGTTCAAGGAGCTTCCTCTGGGGCACATCGCCACCAGCTACGGGCTCCTCAAACTGCCTCTCATGCCAGAGATCAAACCGGAGCACAAGCAGCAGTTTGTCGGCCCTAAAGAGGAGATAGACTTTAACACAATACAGTACAGGGATAAGCAGAAGGAGACGAGTCGCCTGCAGAAGTTGGAAGAGTATAAGAAGAGCGGGGTTTGGCCGTCGAAGAAAAAAAAGAAAATGGTGGGTAGTTTGACGTCACGTTAAATTTTGAATTGTGCCATCGTCATTGACTGACACGTGGGACTAGTCCATAAACTGCCAGTCCAATGTAGTCCAAGTAGCAACGGTTACACAGACACATCGTCTTCTCGCATTAAAACTGTATAATCACAAAACTTACTAATTTTACAGGAGAGTGTTTTAAAGGTTTAACATTTGATATTTTTAATATTAATCATCTTTGCAATATTTATTTTTTATTTTTTATCAGTTAAATTATCTGTCTTTTAAAGTAAGATAAAATTATTTATTAATTTTGTTAATGGTTGTCAGAATAAAGGTAACCCAAAAAAAAACCTAAAACTGAACTACGCTCTTTTGACAGTATTTATGAGAGAAATAGTGGTGATACCAAATGACCACATATTAACTCAATTTCGAGTATTTTTGGAAATTGAACACTTTTAATGCGAAAAGACGACATGTGTATATTGGCAACTTTTGGTATGCGCATGCAGCGGTAGACGAAAATTTTATTCTGGATAAGATTAGGGTAGAATCGGCTCTTATTGAACGCCTACATCGCAATATAAATATCTGTACCAATTTAATGTCTAATAGAATTCAAGGTTTCGTGAAGAGAGAGAGGTATTTTCCTATTTTATGTTGATTAAATATTTTGTTACAATTTGTGATAAAAAAGTATGTAAAATTATAACGATCGGTACAACATGACTTACTATCCCTTCAGGTCCAAACACTCCCGTGGGAACAAGCGAAACAGAACAAAGAAGAAAGGAAAGAGAAAAGGAAGAAACGTAAAGAGTTGAAACAGAAGAATCCAGAACTTAAGAAAGGAAAGAAGAGGAAAGTGATAACGCAAGAGGAACTGGACGCGCTGGCCGCCGACGTCGCGCTCATAAAGAAGTTAAAGAAACGTAAAATAACACAGGATCAGTTCGATAGAGAGTTTGAAGCTGATTAATAATTTTTTAAAAGCTTTTTATGTTTTATTTGTACCCTCATTGTCACACATTCGGGCAATATATATTAACGATAGCCCAGGAGGCGTTGGTTTCCCACAGCTGGCCTCCTCTGCCGACCCGAGGGTCACGACCATTGGCCAGAACTGTCAGGGCCCACAACTTTCCCTAACGCCGGTTCTAGGAAACCAGTAACCAGAGAAACCGACTTTACTATGCATGTTGATAAGGTTCATTGCAGAAGCCTTATAGAATATTTCAGGCCCGTCGTTCACTTTGACTTTGATACACTTTGGACCAATTTACAATCTTAATCTATCAAATCAAGCGTCATACATTTGCTAACATAATTAAATTGATTGTTTGAATTGAATTCAAATGAATCGTATGCGACAAAAATGTATACAAGCCAATGACATTAGTCCATTACTTACCTTCGAATATGGTCGCGGAAACTTTATTACATACTTGCTCAATAATTCTAAAGAAGGAATTTAAATAACACAACCAATGAAAATAGTAAAATATATTTATATTTCAGCTTAACATTCGTAATAGCAACGTTTTCATGAGTAAGACTCGTGATAACACAAGGCACTTATTTACATTGAATAAATTTTAATATATATATATTAATTCCAATGTTGTAGATTTAAAAAAAAAACAACAATTTGGCACTTTCGCTCGCTGAGCACCGATTTTCACAATGAAATTACTGCTGTTCTAAAAGTCCTCGGGCTACACCCTGCAAAGGTAAGGCACCACCCTGTATGTTCCTACTAAAAATACGAACGATATACATACAATACTGAATTAAATAATTTCTAGTTATGAACCGCATTTGTCCTACTTGTAAAAGATGAAACAGATTATTGTGAGACCGATATTCTGTGCAAATTGAAACACATATTATTGCTTTTTATACGTAAATACTAAAACTTAACTAGCAGCAATTTCAAGGTAATTAAAGTTATTGTAATTATACTACTATTACCGATAAATAATTAACTGCAAATAATAATATATAATCATATTTCAAAAGCCTAAGAATTAAAGTATTTATTTTTAACGTTTTCATAAATCCAATGGTAAGGAGTTTTATTTGAAATAGACAAACACATTTCTTTGCTTTGATTTCATAAAAAGTCAAAAATGCTATTTGTCTCTAAACAAAAAAAAAATTTAGAAAATATAAATTTGTGCGCTTATTTTACTATTTTCAGTTTTAAAAATAACATTTTATTTCATCAAGGAGTATATAAATATGAACTTACACAGATAATTAATTAATGACTGTCGATAGCACGATCTATTAAATTTAAAATTAAAAATACTGGCAAATACATACATTAGCAAGTGTTGCTGACAGTTTGTTTCCATGTTATGTCCACGTTAATTAGCATAGCGTATAATTCATAATTATAGCACGTATTTAGTACCAAAAATCATAATTCATTAATACAATAGGTGTAAGCATTTCTGTAATGAGCAAAACTTCTCCACTTTAAACTTACATAAATAATATTTATAAAGAATATTTTTCGAAAACCGTCTAAACATTTTTAATATCTTTTGTAATTATGTACTTCCCAAAAATGCCTATTATTTTTGTATGTTAAATCGATTTTTAATTCATAATTACGTAAATATAACAGAATCATAAATAAATGTTAAATAACTAAACAAAAGAAAAAACAAATATTACAGAAAGCTTCACAAACAATAATTATTAATTTTTACTTAATAAAATAATTTACATGAATATTCCAGAGGTAAAAAAACAAGCATTTTTCTTCATACAAATACTAAAAAAAAAAAAAAAACTCATCCTCATTCATTTTTAAGCCTTGTCATGATTCACGAACATCTAAACTTAACGCCGTCTTAGAAATACAAAAAAAATTAATAATAATAAAGAAAAATCTAAAAAATGTAATACATTACAAATACATTCACTATAATACTTAATTCGTTCATTCATTTACATTAATACTACATACTCGCTGCTTCAACAATGACAGTACGACTCGACCTGTCAACTGTCACTATTAAAGGTGACATAACTAGCTGTCAAAACAAAATCATGTGATTTTTGGGCGGCTGGATCGTCGAGAAAAGCAACAAAACTATTGATAGTTCCTTCGTAGTCAATAAGTTAACCGAACGGATTAACTTTGACTATAACAATGTTGACTGGTTGCTAATTATTAGCTTTCACGAGCACTACATGTTACGAGATTTGAAAACGTATTATTAATGGTCTCTAGAACTCGTGGCAATTTAGTTGAAGGTAACCCAAATTGCTGCTAAATCATGCAAAACAAAAACACTTGATTTTAAGAATTTTTTATATATCACGTTACATTATAAAGATAATAATCAAGACGAAAAAAAAACCCGCTGAAAACAAAAGATGAACAACTCAAATACGCGCCAAATGATTTTTTAATTGTTCAACCGACACGCAAAGTATTTCAAAATCATAATCTTGCTTAAAACTATTCGTATTAGTATAGAGGAGACAACATGCGTTAAATAGTAAACTAGAAAAATATGTTATTTAGAAGAATAGAAATGAAAAAACAAAGGCATAAAGACTAAAGATCTGTCTGCAACAAATTGTGAGATAGTCAAAGCGATTTCTTTTTTCTAAATTCCATTATTTAATTCCGTTGACCGTGCATTGTTTATTAAATGCAATAACAAAAAAAAAACACCTAATTTCTCAACCCTTTTTTTTTAAATAACTACACAGACAGCGATGCCGAGGTTTAGCATGTTTTATTTATCTTAATCGCATTTTTTCACTACGATATGAACACAGATATAAAATGTGTCACAAGAGACGACAGCAACCGTTTTATTAACGTAATAGGCAAGCGAATAGAGAGCCTATTTGATGGGACGTGCACCAGGGGACCTCAAGGAACACCCTGTAGTTAACTTGAGAGTTTCATGGCGGGCATGTGGGAGACAAGACGACCAACAGACGTATGGTCCCGCGACCAGAAGCAGCCAGTCGGACAAAACCGTAACCCCGCGTATACCAACGCCACAATTCACGCAGTTTTTTTTTTATAGGGCACGCTAATAACTTATCAGAAACAAAGTAAGATTAACTATTTACAATACGTATGTTTTTATTATTAATATTATAAATAAATAGATTGTACACTGGCGCACAGAAAAATGGTAGTATCGTTTTTATTTTAGAAATTTAAATTAAAGTTATTTCTTGAGTTTTTTGTGTATATTTTAATTTATACCGTACTCTCAACACATAAATGTCGTTTATTATATACGCATATTTCTAGTTCAAGTTAAACTATTTTCAAGTAGCATGTTACCTTTAAGGGTCTTTTATGTTCTTGATTCATTAAAGAGCTTTAAAATTGCACTTTTTGTAAATTCGTTTACTCTGTATGGAAAATCAATTATTATTACCGCCAGTGTACAGTAACTTCAAAATCGAAAAAAAATACAATGATCATCAAAACATTGAAATACTTATACTTTTTTTTATCTGTGAATCATAATTATCACAGATAAATTAAGGCTTTTTTACAGTTCATTGTCGACGGTCTGTAAATGTTTTGAGGCGTCATTGTCATTATTTCGAGAAATTTACTTCTAGAATTAGTTTTAAATTACTGAGCCTCTCGCGAGCGTGCGCAAAACATTCGTCAAAATTGTAAGTCATAGTAAGCGTGGAGCTCTGTAAGATTGACAAGCTACAGCAATGGAGCGAAACCGTTTTATATTGAACGAACGCTGCTCCAAATCTTTTGAAACCAAAACATCATTTTATATAGAAGACCAATGTCTATTGATCGCAAGTTATTAATTAGATCGAGTTCATTCAGAATTACTGTCTTTGGGGATCATTGGCTATGTAATTTGTGACCCTGTCTGATCGCCAATGGAACATCGTTTCTCATAAATTTTGAAAAGTGCGTCAACCGAATATAATTTTCTCTGCGGTAAGTATAAAAATCGCATGGCACATTTCAAAAACGAGTTACACCAGCGAGAACGAACTAATGAGCGAAAAAAAGAGTGAACGAAAATGAAATCAAAGTTGGCTTCTTGAAAATAATACAAAGCATATATCGATCTGTGCATTATATTTTTTTCGACGTTTCGGCCTGTAACTTACGGACTCTAATGTTGACATGTCAACAGCCATTTTGTCTAAGACGCACGCATACAAGTAAACTCAAACATTCACTACATGTTTCAAGCGCCACTCGCGAAACGGTCAAAACGCTTAAATAATATTAAAAAAAAAAAACAAGCATCTTTGTTCGTTGAAATCATGTAACTTTAATAAAGATTCAAAAATGATATCAAACACAACGTTTCGAGTTTTCAATCGAGAATCGATAATATTGATATTAATATTCGTTCATAATCGATTTAGAATCGATGACGAATTAATTACAAAACAATAGGGAGCCGGATATCTGTTATGTTTCCAAATCATCACCGTGATATGACTTAGTTTGAGGCTAAAATAAACTACCACCTAACCATAGATAAACAGCACAATGTTTACTGACATATGACGTCATACGTCGGGATTAGTGTTTGGCTAGATGTGATTATTTATTTAAAAATAAGCCAAAAGTTTATAGGAAAAATTTGGATCACTAAAGTTATGTGAAAATTAGAAAGAAAAAAACCGCCAGCACATTGTCCGGGTAAAATTTCGAAATTTTATTTTTCGGTTTAGAATAATTGAGTATTCGATGGTGTACAATTAAGTAGACTAGACACATAACGAAACAGGTGTAAGCTTCAAGTCACATATTGTAAAAATCCCTGCGACTCTACTATTGAAAACTCAATTCGTTTTTCGATCGATATTACATCCTATCTGTCCATCGTGAGTCAGGCTTGAGTTAAGAATAAATTGACGTCACTATCTTTAAAGATTATCTAATAGCATCAGATAGAATTAATAAAACGCATAGTATCCTTCAGCCAAAGTGACAAGTGTCCTAGACAAGGATCAATTGGCCGCACATTTAGACAGGAACGAACACAATTCATTTGGTTTTGAGAAGTCATAGGGGTTCGTTAATTGATTACCTACACAAGTGTTCTTGGTTCATGTCCCTTTAGAGCTTTGTTCGTTAGAAAAGTTCGCATAAAACTCTAAAGGTTCGTTCCAAAGTTCTTAGTAGGACGTCTGAAATTGGTCACAGTCATATATTAACAACAAAGTCATATATTGCCAGTGTCAATAACATTTATAATTCCTAATGCCAACAGGCTACGGGCGTAAAGTACTCATGAATACAGTTCAATTTGTAGTTAAGTGTAAATGAATTTGAGAGCTGCATATTAACATTGTCCGGTGGCGACCGACCACCAGTGATTACTTTTTGTTCGATAACAAAACGTTCGTTTATATTTGACGATCAACTTTTTAAAATCTACTGTTGCGTCATGGTAACTGTTTTTCGGATGAGTTGTTTGGTTAACCAAATTCAGAGCGACCTACTAAAATCTCGCATATCTCGATGACATTATAGTCTATACCTCGTCCGGTGCCATACCGTCGGTTTCGTGGTTGGTGGCGTCGGGGACGAGGGGCGCGGCGCAGGGCGGGGGCGAGGCGGGTTGCGGGAGGGGAGACGCCTTCATCACCGCCTCGAGGGCGCGAATTCTGTTCTCTTGTTTTACTATTACCGATTTCAGTTTTCGGATCTCGTCAACCAAATCTGACAACTGCTTCTCCTGCAATATTAAAATATTGGTTTTATTTTATTCGGTTGGCCTGGCAACATTGACTGTAAGGTCAGCTTTTCAACGCCAAGAGATGTTGTGTACCAAATTGGCTAGCGTGGCACTTGCGTCACGTTTTTGTTTTACATACTTGATATTGAGAGCGCGAGATTGCAGTCTCCTGTGAGGACATACGAGTAAGAGCGAGTGAGACAGACTGAGAATTTGGGGGGTGTGACGTGCGAGTGGCTTACCACGGCCGCGCTGACCGCCGGCGGAGGCGTGGCGGAGGCGGGCGTGCCTGAGTGGCTGTCGGCGTGTCGGTCAAGCTTGGCGGCGGGTGTCGGCGAGCGGTCCTTGTCTCTGTCCTTGGTGGTGGCTAGTGCGTTCTTCTTGGTGACGTGCAGCTGAGTGGCAGCTCGACCGGACACGTAGCCGCCCTGCACAACCAAAGCGCGCTCCTGTAGTTTGGTTAGGGAGCCCCTAGCCGATAGCATCTGTCTCTTTATTCTTCTGTTGGCTTTTTGGGATAATAAATATATCCTTGGACACTTTGAAAGCTTTCGATTTTGAAAAAAAAAACATTATAATGTTCCGTGTTGTGTTATTGAAATTGATTTATCAATTATCTTGACTTATAGGTTTACCAAATTAAAGAATAATTTTATCTGAAATAAAATATCTTCTTTTATTTAAATTAAATTGCATGTTGAAGTTGAATTTTACACAATATTATCGTATCAAATGTAGATCATGTTTCATTCAACAAGTTTCATCAAAATTAATATAGTTAGTAACAAGAGGAAAGTACAGGCGATCAATATTTTTATAATTCAAAGTTAGAGTGAGTACACAAACACACACACACACAAAACATTAAAGTTAAATAAAGTCAAGCCAACAGAATTATAACGAGCAGAAACAATCTTAGTTATTATCAAATATTTTGTACAGTATTATTTTTCTTATTATTTGCGATGGACTGGTGGGAGGAATCACGGTCTACCTGCTGTTCCGTGTGGTTACCGGACCTCATGGAGATTACAACATGAACGACATGCACCTTGAGACATGAGTTCAAAAACGAGACATAGGCAGAATAGTGCTATCTACCCGCATGAACTCATAATACAACTATTAATTATTGGCTAATTCGTCTTTCCTGTGGTACGCATTCCGCATTCACCCCCGTCATTAACAACGTCAAATAACATCAATTGCTGACAGGTAGTCGATGGAAATACACTCAAAAACAAGTATTAAACTGAAAAACACTGCGAGCCAATTATCCTAAAAATTACTTGACACGGTCCCATGCCTCATTCGGATTCAGGATGCGTTTTAAAACTTTTACATATTGTGATTTGTTAAAAACTTCTTAGTAAAGAGAAAAAAAAAAACACGTATTAGTGAACTATTTGAACGAACAAGAAACAATTTAAAACAACATCGACATTCAAGACCGCCGCGTTAATCTCTCACGCGTTGACTTACCTTACTGGGTCTCAACTATAACACATTTACATAAGTTAACTATTATATTGCCTGGAGGTCATTGCATTGTCATGACGTCATCATATTGCCATGACATTATATTGCTGTGAGGTTACATTGCCCTGATGTCATCATATTGCTGTGACGTCATTGTATTGCTGTGACGTCATTATATTGAAGTGAGATCATCATATTGCCCTGATGACATCATATTGCTGTGACGTCATTATAATGAAGTGAGATCATCACATTGCCATGATGACATCATATTGCTGTGACGACATTATACTACAGTGACGACTACAGTGACGACGCGGGGCTTCCCCTTCCCGGGACATGGGTGATGTGTACATTTATCAAACTATAAAATAGCGCACAGAGCCAGACAAGGGTTCTTTTTAAATTGCTATATCCAGTGGACGAGTTCACGATCTATTTGGTTGTGAACTGATTAGCGGAGTCCGTAGACATCTACAACGTATTAGTCACCACCCAACCTGAGACATGAGTTCCAAGTTTCAGTTTTTACAGTACAGGGCTGCACCCTTCACACTATGGGGACGTCCAATAAGAGCCGATAAACAGCGACGCGCGGACACGTTCTAGCCTGCTTTCTTTTGAAGTTTTGAAGTCTAGAAGTTTTGAAGAATCTCGCGTGAGATTAGAGGAGGGGGGGGAGGTAGTTGAAAAAAATCTTACGATATCTCACCAAGGGGGGGAGAGGGGGTCAAAAATTCTCAAAAACGCTTCACGTAATGAATGGATGCACCCTAACGTATTACTGCTTCACGGAAGAAATAGGTAGGGCAGATGGTATTTTGGGATGTTTAAACGACAAAGGGAAGATCTTCCACCGTGATATTGCTCGGTAGACCGACGGTCCGAACGTTGTTGTTCGGAACTTGTATATATGCGCTTTATCTTGAAAATGTCGTAAGCGAGATTCAGGCATCTGTCAATTATCTTGCGTTGTATGATGGCTACTCGCCACAGTATCAGGCCCTTTTTCTGGGGAATCCATTTACAGATACCCGGTCCGGGGGGGGTAACAAACCGGGTTATGTCGGACTCCGGCGCCTCCTGGAGAGGAAGAGGGGGACGAGGAGGGCCAAGGTCCTCAACCTCCCCAAATTCCTCGCAAGAGACTACGCCTTAAAAAGGCGCGCGAAGCACTTGCCCCGCAGAACGACTACCGACTAAACCCCATCGAGCTCCACCACACCGGCTACACCAGACCTACGGTACCGCAGTGCGCGCCGAAAGTCCGACTTCGCCGGTACCCGTTCTGATGATAAGACGGGATTTCGTCTCCGGGAAAATCCCGAAGGACGTCATTTCGGGAGATACACCTGTATCAGGTATCAGGCCTGAGTATCAGGCCCTGCCGGCAAGACGCCGTGCCACCAGTAGGAGGTTACCTTCAGCGACATGGTACAGGGCTCCGCGTCCTCGCCCTGCAGCCACTCGTCCGCCGTGAGGCTGGCCTCATCGCTCAGCGTGTCCGGGTACAGATCCTCCTGGAACAGCTCCGACTTGCGGGGCACCGTCATGGAGACCACCTGCTCGACACAAACGATCAACTGTAGCTTTCTTTTTATTTTTTTATTAAAGGCTTCGTCAAACAGAACGCGTACTTAGCGCTGCGATTTAACGTCGCGCTATTTTCATGTCACACAAATTGACTAGATGAGCCCAACGCTCCTTGACGCAACGCAGTCGCCAAATCATAGTGCCTTTCGATAGCAGTGTGAAAATTTAAAAGTATTAAGATATCGAGTGATTCAGATGTGGCATTGTATAAGCATGGGTATTTTCTAACTATTTCTATCAATTTTTCGGGCATTATCTAGTATTTTAATAGACATTCACTCGGACGCTAAAATAAAATTTGTTAAAAATTACAACGCCTGACGTCAAAGCGTCCTAACACCGCGACAGAGCGCTGCGTACTTATAGCGCGAGGGCTCTGTTTGACGGTATGTTACCATAGTAGTACAACACATCTCGGCGTCATAGCGCGCCATCAGTTTAGCGCTTTGACGCGCGCTAATTACGCGTTCTGTTTGACGAAGCCTTAATAGTTGTAGGTCACGTGGAAGGAAAGAGAAGTCGAGGGAGATTGCCAACCAGGTGGACGGACATTGTCAAGGAGGCCACAAACACCAGCGTCCCGGGCGCCATTAAGCAGGCCGAATGCAGGCAACATTGGAGGAAGTTGGTGCAGAAACTGGATCAAGGTCTCGACTATAGTTACAACGGCTGCCCCACCCTTCAAACGGAAGAGCATTACTGCTTCACGGCAGAAATAGGCAGGGTGGTGGTACCTACCCGCGCACTCTCAAGAGGTCCTACCACCAGTAAAAAAAAGTTCTGCCTCATAACATGAAGCTCGGACTTTTTGGCGGGAACGCGAGGAGTGAAGTTGTACGATTTGTTTTATTTTGTCTATTTAGTGTTTCTTCAGGTTTAAATGTGTAATAACGGTGGTTTATTAACTGTTTAGTATCTGTGAAAGTGCACAAATGTGGGAAAATGAAACAAAGCCGCTGAACGTAACTTCTCGGGATCCTCCAAAAAGTCAACCGAAAAAGTATCAGTAAACGCCCGCCATTTTACTGAGATTATATTTCATCCCGTATCATCTCATCTCATTTAATTTCATGCCAATTGATTAAGTTTCCTTCGCTTTTTATTATTCATAAACAACTGTAAATAATTAAAACGGCTAATTATAAAAGTCTTAACACCGGCTAATGTACAATCCGTGCCGGACTCAAAACCTAAAGAAGAATAAGACATTATGCTCACCTGGCACAGTCCGGAGTTGTTGAGCCGGTAGAACTTGGCGATCTCGCAGGTGGCCACGTCACACCCGCGCTTCGGCATCATGCCTATACCTGGAATAAACAAAACAAGTCGTTAATTAGACAGGTCGTTCACTGTAACGTGCCGGGACCGCGCCTTACGGATCCTCCCGACCCATTAACGGTGCTTTTAGGTACCACAAGCACCGGTCACTGTCCTCGCCGAACCCGTCGCTTGCGACGAAGGGCTCGACAGGTAAATTAACTCATAGACACAGCCCACTGAGTTGCTTAGATGGGTGGACGAGCTCACAGCCCACCTGGTGTTAAATGGTTACTGGAGCCCATAGACATCTACAATGTAAATGAGCCACCCACTTTGAAATGTAAGTTTTAAAGCCCCAGTATAGTTACAACGACTGTCCAACCCTTCAAAACGAAACGCATTACTGCTTCACTGCAGAAATAGGCAGGGTTGGTACCTATCCATGTGAACTCAAGATGTCCTACCGCCAGTAATTACACAAATTATAATTTAGCGGGTTTGATATTTAATACACGATGTTATTCCTTCACCGTGAACATTTGTTAGGAAGAAAATAGGGCATCTTTCATCCCACAGCTGGCCACCAGTGGAGCACGAACCTACCTCTCTGAGGGTCCGGAGTTTGGAAGGTGTTGATGTAGTGCACGAAGGGAGGCTCCGGCGTCACCTGTCGGACAATACCAAGTTCAGTTCACGATGTGACCACCTTTAACACTAAACCTACCGATACGGGTCGAATTGACCATTTTGAAAATCTATAAAATTTCCATGGGCATTTCGCTGGACATTTAAAATTAACATTATTATTTATTGTCATTATTATTAGGGAGTCCAATACTCATATAAATATTAGGTACCTATCCATTAAGTACATGTATTTTCTACATGGATACCAAGTTTCAAGTCGATCGGATGCACGGTTCAGTAGTTATAACGGAACATCCGTTAAAACCACTGTAGATTTCGATCGATCGGTTGGTCGAAATTTCATTCGTTATTTATTGAAATATTTATAGTTCAAATATACTTCAGTATGCGCTGTAGTTTATATAAAGTTATTACGTCATAAAACAAAAATCAAAAAGTCTTTCTCTGATAATATAATCGGTAATACAACTGCCTGATTAATGAGAGCTGTTATCGTTGTGGGAACAGTTGAAGGCGATAATCGTACGAAGCAATACTGCGATTTTAATGTCAAGGCGCTGTTTAATCGCGATAAAAAATTAACAGACCTAATCCCCTAGCTTTACAGTTGAAAATTGAATGGCGCATCTGAAGTGGTAATCGTATAGATTAATTTATCGAGTTTATCTATAATAGTTATATTATGTAAGAAATACTGGTTTAAGTCACAAATAAATCTATCTGATACGCCAAACCAATCGTTATATCTGAAAATTCAGACTACCTTCAACTGGAGTATTTATAATAAACAATTGTTTTTTTTAGTAACCCGAATGGTTATGGTAGCTAGGTGGGGACAGTATTGATATGAAGCGGAGGAGATCGGAAGGCTGACCTCGAAGTATCTGATGACGGAGTCCCCCTTCCCGCAGAGGTAGACGAGGTTGGTGTCGGGGTCGTAGAGCGGGAACATGACGCCGTTGCTGGTGTCGATCTCCACCGTGACGATGGGCTCGGCCAGCGCGTCCGGCGTACGCAGCGAGTACTGCCGCTCCGACATGCGGCTGAAACTGCCGCACACAACCCGCCCTCTCAGCCTACCGATACTGGTCTGGAGACGCTTAAAAGCAACTCTTATAACGCCCACGTGTCTAAGCATGTTAGCGTTACCTAGCAGACCATTCGACAATATTTTATTTCAGGTAGATGGGAGCTCGCGATCCACCTGAAGTAAACTGGTTACCGGAGCTCATAGACATCGCAACGTGAATGCCAACACCTACCTTGAAACATAAGGTTGAAGTCTCCATTGGACTGTATAAGACAATCCCACCAATTAAATTGGAACGAACAAATATTTGGGAATTTGTAATGCACCATGTATAAATAAACATTTGGGAATTTGTAATGCACAATGTATAAGTAAATGTTTAGGAATTTGTAATGCACCATGGAAAAATAAATATTTGGGAATTTGTAATGCACCATGGATAAATAAATATTTGGGAATTTGTCATGCACCATGGATAAATAAATATTTGGGAATTTGTAATGCACAATATATAAATAAATATTGAGGAATTTTTAATGCACAATATATAAATAAATATTGGGGAATTTGTAATGCACCATGTATAAATAAATATTTTTGTACAAGTCAACTAAGCACTTACCCGGTTGTGAAAACCAGTCCATGCTTGAGGAAGATGGCCCGAGAAGCTTTACTGCCCTCGTGGGCTATCGCTTCGGACTCTACCTCGCCTTTACGAGGGTCGATTATCCTGAAAAATTATTTTACTATCAGAACTGTCGCATGAGCTTACGACTTTAATTAGTGGATCAAATGAGCTCGCGGCTTATCTGGTGTTAGGTGGTTAAATAAGCTCGTTGACAAGACGATAATATCACCTCTGTTTTTGAGTCATGAGGTCAAAATCTCAACAAGACTATCTCATGAGACACGTTATGGTAGTCACTCGAGTACTCTGGCCAAAATTTTGGTCACGTTCGATGTCAATTTAGGGGATTATAGTTTTATTTATATTCATTATAATTTGTGAAGACTATCTTATGAGACACATTATAAATAAATAATAAATATTTATTAACAATCACGCCACGTTAACTGGTCCCGTGCTAAGTTCGTAAAGAACTTGTATTACAGGTACCAGATAACAGAAATAAATGTAAGATTTTTATTATACACATACATATATTTAATAGACATTCTTAACCCTGGAAAATTATATTTATGTAGTTAGTAGAGTAGGGTTTTTTTTTATCAACTATTAATATTGAAGTATGACATTTCTTACAGGGTCTGATAATTTATTTATATCTCAAATCTTGCATATTTATAATAAGCATTTTTGTTTATACATGTTCTGTCTGTCACGCCCCAGTGCGTGCAATTTGATAGCGGCAGAGGGCACGTGAACTGATGAAACAAAACCGAGTATATTTTACATATTTAGCATACTTTAAAAACTGCGACATTAGAACTCATATATCCAGGTGGGTGCCGGCATTTACACTGTAGATGTCTATGGGCTCCGGTAACCACTTAACAACAAGTAGGCCGCGAGTTCGTCCACCCATCTAGGCAATAAAAACAAAATAGTAGCCAGGATATATGTTGTAGTTTTTTTTATCAATTAATGGATTTGTTTGCAATAACTATCCAGCCCTAACCAGTACACAGTAGAAAAGCACTATTTACCTGATCTTCTTGTCCCTGCAGGTGGTGAGGAGTTTGGAGCCGGTCCAGTTCCAGCAAGCGGAGTAAATAAGGTCCGGGTGGCAGTCCAAGGTGATCAGAACCTCTCCCGTGCCCACGTTCCATATCGCTATCTATAACATAGATATTAACTTGACGACAGGATATTTTATTGCAGACGACACACACACGCACACAACACACACACATACACACACACACAGACAGTCACTTATATGAACTCTCAATGCCACAAATGTTGTAGGAGTATTTTATACTAGTGGCCCGCTCCGGCTCCGCTCGGGACTTTAACAAAAATCTCAACGATTGATATTTAACGTTGTTAATTTTTTTAAATAAAAGAACACTTATTGCGGCATAACTATAATAGTTAGACATATGCTGTCGCGACACTTTTTGTAAATAATCATGTGTTCTACAAAGTCGTAGTACATTATTTTATTCTATCATCGATAGTTTTCGATGGGCACACGATGTAAAGAATATTTTAAGTGATTTTGTTACACCTTGGGTTACATTATTGGAGTTTTAGTAAGGATTCCTAATTTTTTTCAAAAAATATTATAACCTATGTCACTCAGGAATAGTGTAGCTTCCAAACAGTGAAAGAATTTTTCAAATCGGATCGATAGTTTCGGAGCCTATTCAATACAAACAAACAAACAAATCTTTCCTCTTTATAATATTAGTATAGATTAAAACTATGTCTTTATCTTCTTGTAATCACCTGGTTATCAGACCCAGCAGTTAGGAGTACATTCTGCGCTGTTGGATGCCAGAGTACTAGCCCAACTCTTCGCTGATGGTAGACTAGGTCCACCACAGGCTCTGTCAGCGTCCGGGATAGTCCTCCGTCCGGGATCTGCCATACCTGTGGATAAAATTTAATGCATTTACTGGCGGTAGGAACTCTTGTGACTCCGCGCGGGTGGGTACCACCACCCTGCCTATTGCTGTCGTGAAGCAGTAATGCGTTTCGGTTTGAAGGGTGGGGCATCCGTTGTAACTATACTGAGACCTTAAAACTTATATTTCAAGGTGGGTGGCGCATTTACGTTGTAGACGTCTATGGGCTCCAGTAATCACTTAACACCAGGTGGGCTGTGAGCTCGTCCACCCATCATATTTTTTTTGTTATTATTTTTTAAAATTTTGAACATGTAATGCCTCTCCTGTAAAGTTTTTTTTATTGCCCTTGTCAGGCAGACGAGCATACGGCCCACCTGATGGTGAGTGGTTACCGTCGCTCTTGTTAGCAATGCCAGAGGTAGAGCCAAGCCGCTAACTACCGTTAAATGTCGCTTAAATCAAATAGCCTTTCACCTCTCATTATAATTTTCACAAAAATTCCGTCAATAAATCGAGACATACTTTGACGACGCAGTCCTCGGAGCCGCTCGCTATGACGTTGTCGTTGTGCGGACACCAGGCGATGTCCAGGACCGGTCCCTTGTGTCCTCCTACCAGGGGATGGTCTGCAGGTATGCGGCCAACCTGAAATATTACAAATGAATGAATGATTTATTTTATTTCAGACAACAAAAAGTCCATATGTGTACATATTATCATTAAAACATACTTAAAATAAAAAAAACAATTAAATAAAAAAGATACATTTATTAAAAACTAGTTGACCCGGCAGACTTCGTAGTGCCTCAATCGATAACTAAAAGACACATCAAGGGGACACATCAAGGGAAAAACAAAATTGTTTGTTTTTATATAATTCCGAGCTTTTTACATTTTCTCAACTTTTAAACCTTCCCTGGACTTCCACGAATAATTCAAGACCAAAATTAGCCAAATCGGTCCAGCCGTTCTCGAGTTTTAGCGAGATTAACGAACAGCAATTCATTTTTATATATAAAGATAAAGATAATTATCAGTTGAATACATTTCAAATAGTCCATTCAACTGATACTTAAATGTACGTCAACTTATCGAATACTTCTACTAGTGGCAGGACCTCTTGAGTCCGCACGGGTAGGTACCACCACCCTGCCTAATTCTGCCGTGAAGCAGTAATGCGTTTAAAGAGTGAGGCAGCCGTTGTTACTATATTGAGACCTTAGAACTCATACCTCAAGGTGGGTGGCGGCATTTATGTTGTAGATGTCTATGGGCTCCGGTAACCACCTAACACCAGGTGTGCCGAGAGCCTTTCCACGCATCTATGCAATAAAAAATAAAAAGAATAACGTGATACAACGTCGTGGCTGAAATAGGATCCATTTCGTCTCAGATATCCTCAGCTGCATATAATACCTGAGATTACATTCATTGGGTTAAGGTACACTATCTCGTGGGCAAAACATATCGACGCTTGAAAGGCAAACGTGACTAAGCGACAATGCGTGAACTTTACAGTAGACCAATTTAAAGCTGAAATACCTGAAAAAAAATATATTTTAACGAATCTAGGTGTAGGATTGAAATGATTTTAATAGACCTAGAAATATATATTTTTTACGCATCGAATATGGTTATTGCCTATCACTTATGTATAAAGCAGTTATTGTCGCTTAGTCACGTTTACTTTTCAAGCGTCGATATACAATGCTATCGAACATCGAAAATTGTATACATAAATGGTTTGGTTGTGAGCTGACACGGGTAAGACCACAATCCGGCCTGTACATACCGCGAAGCAGTTAGGCGTTCCGGTTCGAAGAATAGCAGAGCCGTTATACTATACAATTCAGACTTTACACCTCATGCCCCGAGATAGGTGACGACGGCTGTCACGCCGTGACTCCAATAGTCATCTCTAGGTGGGAACAGACTCGGTTCAAATGCCTAGGCAATTCAATAAAGTTCAAATGTTTTTCGTTCTCCCTCGGAACTTTAGATGTGCAAACACAAGAAATATATCTTAAATTTATATTTAGAATGCAAGTTTTTTAGTGTTTCTTATTCCTACTGAGAACCACTTAACCCACTACTTATGAAGCAATAACTTAATATATGGTGTCGTGGGACACCAGGTAGGAACGAAGTTCCTTGGGCTAATGTAGAATCGACACAATTTGCAAAAAAAAAAACGTGCTCAATTTTATGTTGGTTTTCTTGATTTTTCTCTTAAATTTTGCTGATTAGTTTTTATTTAAGTACAGGAAAGTATTTAGGAAATTCAGTATTTTAGGAAATAAAATAAATTACGTAAAATAAAAATAAAATCGTAATTCAAATTATCAATTAAAATAACAAAATATGTCTCTTTATTTTTGTTTGACAACATAAAATTACATAGAAATAGAAATAATTACAAAATAGAGAGAGAAGGGATGAGAGAACGAAAAGAAAGAGGGAGAAAGAGAAACGTACTATACACTACTCGCTTGTGTATACGACTGTCGCGCCTGCGCACGTCTCATTTAACGGTTTTATTCCACGCACTTCTTTCCACGGATTTTTTCTTACGGTTTTACTATCACATTTTTTTCAGTTCGGTCGCGCAGCAAAATCCCTATCCCCCCAAGCCTGCCGTAAGGAACTTCGTTCCAAAACTTCGTTCCAATAAGATTTCAAGGGTAGCTGTTATTTCTATACAATTAATTTACTTTAAGTTTTCAATGTCTTTTTATTGTTCTCCTACCTAAGCTGGTAGCCTTTATAGGCTATGCCAGCGTTCATTGTCTATGGAACGCGCTAGGTTTCAGGGGGACCGCTTGCCTACTCATCTGGGCAGAGAAAAAAAAATTCGCATGCTATTGACTGTTTGTGGTACATACTTTGTTTTCTCGCATTAAAATTGTATAATCTCAAAACTTACTAATTTTACAGGAGAATGTTTTAAAGGTTTAACATTTGATATATTTTTTTTAATATTAATCATCTTTGCAAAATTTATTTCTTATTACTTACCAGTTGCATTATCTGTCTTTTAAATAAGATAAAATGATGTATTAATTTTGTTAATAGTAGTCAAAATATAGGTATACTAAAAAAAAAATGTGTGCGTGTACTAGTGTACACACGTAAGAAGTGAAACTTGTTTATGGCCTTATTTTTCGAAAAATGATCTACATGCAACTTTCTAGAAATTGGTTAAATAAAGTTAAATTAGATAAAGTTTAAACAAAAGGATTTTATTATCATAGACATGAATACAAAAAAGTTAAATTAGATAAAGTTTAAACAAAAGGATTTTATTATCATAGACATGAATACAAAAAAGTTAAATTAGATAAAGTTTAAACAAAAGGATTTTATTATCATAGACATGAATACAAAACAGATGGCGCGTAACGGAAAAAAGTGACGCGTAACCGAAAAATGTGACGGTAAATTTTTTTCCAACGCCGATAAGGAAGTTTCACTTCAAAAAAGAAGCTAAACTAAGCTCTTTTGATAGTATTTATGAGAAAAATACTGGTGATAACCAAATGATTCCGCATATTAACTCAATTTCGAATATTTTTAGAAATTACACATTACATGTACACTTTTAATGCGGAAAGGCGACTTATAAGTTTAAAACGATCGCTTTGATCATTTTCCTTATGATCACGTCATTGTGAAAAAAAAAAAAAACACGATTTACTTGTCGTTTACAATTTCGCAAACGACCCACATGACAACGGGCCGCGAAGCTCTCATTTCACCAAAAAAAATATTTTTACATTTTACAATAGTTCAGTTTTAAAGTGATCATTATAAAATGCGCGAACAATGAATAATAACGGCAGTAATTAACGCGCGCCTGTCATAATGTGGGTCACGATTCTTTCTAATTAGTCGAAGTAACAGGTAACGATTTCTTTGGATACAAATTCGTCAAAATTCGGATTTGTAGTGAAGGAGCTATTTTCAAACATAGCAGATTAGGTATAATGATTGACAGGAATGTTTCGGATAATTTCCCTCTTGGACCAAAACGCTAAAATTTGTCAAGTTTTTAGTAACTCTATATTGTTATCTATACTAATATTTTATAGCTGAAGAGTTTGTTTGTTTGAACGCGCTAATCTCAGGAACCACTGGTCCGATTTGAAAAATTCTTTCAGTGTTAGATAGCCCATTTATTGAGGAAGGCTATAAGCTATAACATCACGGTAAGACCAATACAAGTGGAGTACCAATAAAGAATGTTTCAAAATAGGGGTTTAAATAGCTCCTTAACATTCTATAATTCAAAAATATTTTCACTTTCTACGAAAATTAAATGGGGGGTAAAACTTAGCATTATGCCAAAGTAATTATTTCACGCGGATGGAGTCGCGGGCAAAAGTACGTAATAAATTAGAACTAATTTTTGGCGATTATTAAGGTCGAATGTCGAAGACAATGGCGTTATCCCTTAACAATTTTGTGAATTAATTTAATATTTACGTTTTTATTTTTATTTTCGCCCTTTCAAGTACCTTACAGATTTTATTGTCGGGTCTGCTCAGGGCGTTTTGACTAAGAAATATACATATATATTTCAGATGATATTACTGAACTGTCTCCTTTTCCTTTTGAAGTTTACTTTACGTATGGTTAATACTGGATTGTCTTTTGGATGCAACGGTGAAGATAATGACAATCGATCGTAAGGGGACAGAATTTCGTAGCGATAAAGCGCTATACGTCCGCACCAGTTGCTACCAAACTGTTATTTCACAGCAATTATGGTTAAGGACCTCATGTTCCAAGTTACGAGCAACGGTTTATCATCATATGAGCTTCTCTGTTCGAGTAATTTTTTTTTTTTGCTTCGATGGGTGGACTAGCTCACAGCCTACCTGGTGTTAAGTGGTTACTGGAGCCCATAGACATCTACACCCAAAAAGCGCCACCCACATTAAGATATAAGTTCTAAGGTCTCAAGTTTATTTACAACGGCTGCCCCACCCTTCAAACCGAAACGCATTACTGCTTCACGGCAGAAATAGGCAGGATGGTGGTACCTACCCGTGCGGACTCACAAGAGATCCTACCACCAGTAAAATCAATTTACAAACGTAAAAACGAAATATATTAAAGTTTCAAAGAGCACAAGCGCGTTGCGGTAGCGACGCTCCAGCGAAATGGACGTTAGCCAAATGGCGCGCATTCCCGTCCGCCCGAAAACACTGTCAACTAAAACATTAAACGCCCCGCGTCTATTTTCAATGAATAAATAAATAAGATTGCGATGATTCGCGACAGGACCAACGGTTTCACGTTGGCTAGCTAACAGAAAAAAGATAGTTGTGACCCGAGAATTTTTAACGCAAAGACTGAAATTTTTGTTTTTTTTTTTATTTCTTAGACGGGTGGACGAGCTCACAGCCCACCTGGTGTTCAGTGATTACTGGAGCTCATAGACACCTACGAAGTAAATGCGCCACCCACCTTAAGATATAAGTTCTAAGGTCAGTATAGTTACAGCGGCTGCCCCACCATTCAAATCGAAACGCATTACTGCTTCACGGCAGAAATAGGCAGCCGGTGGTACCTACACGCGCGGACTCACAAGAGGTCCTACCACCAGTAGAGATAATTGTAACCCGAGAATTTTTAACGCAAGG